CCAAGTCCACCTAGTTGCTCATCTTTTAATTTTGAAATTTTTTTATACCTTGGGATTTCTTTCTTTTTCCTTTTTTGACATCCATACGACTATTTTGGTTGTATTCCACTTGTTTTGATATATTTTCAAACAAGCCTTGAGCTATTGAGCAGTGGTGATGAAAGCAAAGAATAAACTCATTTAACTACTCCCTCTAATTTCATTTATAAGACATGTTTCAAAAGTTTATTTGATTTCATTTATAAGTCATAGTATGGGTTTTGAGGCAATAAAATTACCTTTTATGAGAGAAAAAAAGGTAGCATGATATCACTTTTTAAATTTGTTATATAAGGTTATATTTGAAATTTACACATTTTTATTCCTTTTACTTTTTTTGCATTGATATTAATGAAGTTAGTAGAAATTATTTATAAAAAAGAATGGAGGAGTAAGTTACTATGTATACCCAAAAAAAATGAGTTCCCAACTATTTATTTAAGTGACAAAAGTTTTTATCACTTATGTTAACTTAATAAATTGGTTAAATGATATACTTTTAGTTAAAATAAGGAATAATTTGTTATTGAGCTTGATGTGAGTTTGTTGGATGATTTTGCAGTGCATATCTGGGATATGCAGAATCCATATTTGATATAAAATGATGCACTAAAATTCTTGAGCTTGGGAATTGTAATAACTCAGAAAACAATTTTTTTAAAAAAACAGAAATTAAAAAAAATTATTATTTGATCTAAAACTGATGGTTTAGAGACAAGTGTTTTTTTTTATAATAATTAAATCTAAGGTTCCAATTTCGAATCCTAAGGCAGTAAGAGTAGGGTTATTTTTTAATACTTCTTCCGTTTCAAATTATAAGATATTTTTAGATAAAATCTCATATCCCAATTAATCTCATTAAATACATCTAACAACCTCCTCTTTTTTTTTTTTAAAAAAATAAACTTTTCAAAATACCCTTCATTTAATATATTGAAAAGAGAAGATATGAAAATTAATTATTGAAAGAGAAAGGATAATATTATAATTGATGCATTTAATGAAACCTTAATTTATTCAAAGTGTCTTATATTTTGGGACAGAAAAATTCTTTTAAAAGTGTTCCATAATTTGGGACAGAGGAGTACTTTTTAACTTTTATAAAATTACCAGAAGGTCTCTAGCACCATTAGATTTAACCAATATTCCTCCCTGGTCCAATCTCGCATTTTACGCCAAAAGGGGGGAGAGGGGGAGAGAGAGAGAGAGAGAGAGAGAGAGAGAGAAATCCAGAAACCATCGCCTTTGCTCCTCTGATTTCAGCATCTCTATAGCGTCCTTCGTCTTTTGATCACCTCCTCCGTTCCAGTTGGCCGTCGGCGAGGGTGTTCAGTTCGTCGGGAGTTGCTGCCGCAAGGAAGTCGTTCAAAGTCAGTCTACTCACTTCTTGTTTAGGCTTCACTGTTGATATCTTCTCCCTCTGCTTTTTTCGAACTCTCCAGAGCTTGCAAGACCGTTTCCCTCTTCCTCCATCCTCCTGGTCTTCAACCATCAAGGATGTACCTGAATTTCCCTCCTCCTCCTTCTGGTTGTGTGCTGCCATGGGGGTGTTGTTGTGAGTTTTCTTCTTGATCTTCCCTATTTTCGTCTTCCCTTCTTTGCACGCGTTGCTCACCATTTATCTCCCTCTTCCTCCTTGTTCTTGTAGCCAGCATTCTCTTCATCTTCGTCCGTGCTGCAGTGTGGGTGATTCAAGATCTTCTTCCCTCTTCAGCGCTGTCAACTTCGTCTTCCTCTACTGTTGTGTGGCTGGAAAATTTCCCCTGTTCTGCCGCAAATGTACTTGGGTTAAGGAGCTTCAACTTCTTCTCTTTATTTCTTTACCACGTTGGTGATGAGTCAAGCTGCATATCTCTTCTCCTATTTTGTGCGTGCATTCTCGTGATTTAGCTGAAAGTGGGCTTTTGATTTTTCTTCTTTAAATTTGCAACTATTATGTGTGTTAGAAGGGAGTAAATGAGGATAATCAAATCAAAGTTTGAGTTTAAGAACATGATTTTTGGTAGAAAAGTTTGCTCATGCTAGTTACCGGAAGGAGGAGGAATTAAGTTTAATTTTTCTTTATAGTCCACTTGATTTTCTGTTAAGGAATTGGAATTGGATATGCTAATTGAGTTAGATATCAATATTGTAATTTGTGAGAGATGAGGTTGAAGGGGAAGAGGCTTCACAGTAGTCTGAGAATTGATACATTAGTCTAAGAATTGATGCATGATAGGAGTTTGATAAAACATTTGTTAGAAGAAAATTTACTTAATTTTTTGTTTTTTTTTTGAAATTTCATCGATTTCGATGAGTAGCCTGTTTAGTTGGATGTTATTTCTCTATGAACTTAAATTGAAGATTGAAAAGGAAATTTGACTATAAGATTAGTAGTAAATTATTTGAATTATTGGGAGTGGATGGTTATTGACAAATATTTGGCAAGAGCTTTTCAATGTTACAAAGATTTATTGTAAAGTTTGGAAATGAGGTATATTGGGTGTTTTGTCAAAGATGAAAAGGAGATGATATTTTAATAGAGCAATTAGCTATGGTTATTCAGGAACTTTTATGTGTTAAGAGTCCATTCTAAAGTTTTAAACTTGTTGTTGCTTATTATTGGTGGTAATAATGTTGGAGGGAAACTACTAAATTGGTTGAAAGTCTATTAAAATCTCACTATATTTTATAGGATATTTGGAAGAGTAGAAATTTGCCTGAGGTGGTAAGAGGTGAATTTAGAATCTTGGAAATACTTCAGGTAAGTGGACAGAGTTCCAACTAATTTATCAATAAAAAAATTATTTTATTGAAATTTTATATTTTCATCTAGATTATTTTAATAATAATTATGTTGATTAGTGGATACTCGGTTAATTAAATTACTTCATTTTTAAGTTATAAGATGGCGGTGAAGAACATTTACATCGTGGTATATGAATGTTTTACTCCTTATGATATATGCTTTCAAGATTGATAAAAATCATTTTTACTATATTTGGCAATGTTTGATTACTCAATAAATGCAGCATGAATATTAACTATGAAATTTTATTTTGGCAAGTTTTGAAACTTAAAACTATTCATGCAAGTTTGATTTTGAGAATGAAAATTATATTTTCACAGTGGTGATTTTATCACACATTTGAAAATGATTTTGGAAGAGACTTTATACAGAATACTAGTTGCTAATGGTAGTTCCGTTAGTCTTTGGCATTTTAGTTAATGACTAGCTAGTTTGATTTCATGAGATTTGTTCTCATGTTTATTATTCGTGGGTCTCGTACTTGCGTTTGATTTAGTGGCTTTATGTCGCATTTGGTTAGTATTACTCTTGTGGATTATGTGTCCACGTTTGTTTCGTAGCTTAGATTGCGTTTGATTACTTACTCTTGTGAATTGTGTATCCATGTTTGTCTTTATGGCACAAGCCGCGTTTAATTATTTATTCTTGTGGACTGTGTGTCCATATTTGTAAATTGTTCTGATAAATCCCTAAAAAATATGTGAATTTTTAATTAATTAGTGATTTCATACGTAATGGTTTTTAATTTAGTAAATATTGTTATTGTATTTATTTAATTAATTAATCATTTTTAACTTGTTAAGATCAAATTTTAAAGCTACTTTGTTATTATAGATTTAAATGTACTTGTTATTGATGTTGTATAGAACTTTTATTCCAAGTTTACAAATTTGTTATATTGAATCACTTTCTCATTTAATTTATATACTTTTGTATTTAATTCATTTTGATTCTACAAAATGTTAAGTAAAAGTTATTTTGATCTCAGATAGTCTAGCTGACATTGTATGCCAGGCTGTCCACTGAGGAATTTTTTGTTGAGATAAGTGGAGATCTGTTGTGTAAATATTTTTTATTGATGTAAATATGAAATTTATGTATTATGTTATGAAAAATATGATTAGATGCTCCACATAGATTATAGTTGGGGCCCATATTTTGTTAAGTATTCTATCTGCTGATTGGACGGAGCCAAGCTACTGATTAAAATGATCTTTTGTGTAAAACATTGTGTTGTAGAGTTTTTGAAAGATTTTATTTACAAGGAAGGTTTTGTCGAAATTTTCTACAAAAATATTGAAGCTTTTGTTAATACAAAAATGGTTATGCATGTTATAAATTAATATAAATATAATTATATTTTAGTAATGGAAAGATTTCTCAATTTAAGACTTGAGGGATGTGTGATGTAATTCTTATCCCGTGCCGATCACCCTCTATTTTCAGGAGGTGACAGGAATGACATTCTTGGTTTATATGTGAGAGAGAGAGGGGGAGGGGAGGAGAGAGAGAGAGTCCTCTTGCAAAATTTTTGGGATTATTTGACTTTGTCTGATGCTATGATGAAAAGCAGCATGATACAATTCTGCTTCCATGGTTGGCTTCCATCATTTCATTGCCTGTGTCCTGAGTTCGGATTGTTATGCTTACTCATTGTGTAACTCCTCAATTACTGAATTGATTAATTCGGTCTTTGATTGGTGAAAAGTATTGGCACTCAATTGATTTCATATACTTTATGTTCTGATTCGCCAATACATATTGTCACGATCACAACTGAATACTTCTATCAAAGCTGATAAAATCAGAAAATTACAAAGGTAAAAGAGAAAATTGGCCCATAAACTAGAGGTTCAGAAATTTGAGATCCTAAATTCATTTTTAATGTAAGTTGAAAAAAATATAATCTGATTCCTACTGTCAACAAAAGTTATCTTTGATAAAATTATAGAAAATGATAAAAAATTACAGTAAAATGACCCAAAAGTTACAATATAATAAAGAACCTAACAAATTATATAGAGAGGAACCAATAAAATTTTATTTGTTATTTTGTGATGTCCTATTTTGTCATTTTTTGATCAAATAATGGTCAAAGTTAATATTTGTTAGAGGTAACAATTAGATTGTATTATTTTTAAAAATTAAAATAGAACATTACATTAAAAATGAATTTAAAGTCCCTAACGTTTCTAGTCTAATTTCTTTGAAGTGGATGCATAGTCACATATATAACCATTTCACTATGTAATGCATTTGTAATTGACATTGAAATTAATTGACTCACGGTAAGCTGGCGCGCAATTGGAATATTTGATACCTAACAATGATACAAAAGCCTCAAAAGATTCTTACCCATTGGAAAAAAAACATCTTTCTCCTCCTGTACCACGAATGAAAATGTCGTGGTTTAGTTCTCCTACGAAAGGGAAACAAAATTAATAATAACTAATAAAATGATCAACACACATGAAACGACAATATATGCATGCTCGCTCACCTTGTCCTTTTCTTTGTGTTGTTGACATTTCTTTTACAAGTAGTCTTGAACTTTCTCAGGAGCATCTTGGGTGGTTCAGAAGGAAGAGAAACTATCGCTCTTCGTTTCAGTGAAGTTCTAGAAGACTTGAACTGGACATTCTTCATGTTTGCTAGCTTCTTGTCGACATAAACCCCACAGTTAACTATGTCTATATCATCTGAGTCACATGTATCTTGAATTTCCACATCATTCCAATCCAATTCCTGAGACTTATTAAACCTCTCTATGTCTGTATCATTTGAGTCACATGTAACTTGAATTTCCACATCATTCCAATCCAATTCCAGAGACTTATTAAGCCCCTCTATCTCTTCTTCTGTAAATTCGCCGAGTAGATCAGAGAAAAACATATGACCTTGTTCAACAGAATAACCCAAAACACAACCCCCTTCAGCTTCAATTGGAAAATCACTTTGCGTCCACGGCATTTTGGTACTGCCATTGATGCTCATAAACACATGAAATCTGTATCTCTTATTTCTGTTAGTCTTCCCTATCTCAAATGCGATGACTACACGAGGGAAATTTCTGCCATGAACACGAAAAGACAACGTCCCTCCTTGACAGCAATGGTCGAACCACTCAGGATATGTTGTTGCTGGCATCCAGACGGCCACGCGATATGACTTTATGGCCTAATTTATCAAAACAACAAAATGCTTAGTTTCATTCCTAAAGACAAAATGCTTATTAGCTTCTGGTAGCTTCTTTCACCAGCCAAACCCTAATTTTATATGGTTTGTGTTATCTTGTACAGGAAAATATATAGTAGTGACAATCATTTAGAGCTTATTTGATTTTGTTTTTTATAAAGAAAATTATTTTGTAAGTCACTTTTTAATTTTTTTAAAAATAAAAAATAAAATAAAATCTGATTGATTATGTTATTTTGAAAAGAATTTCATAGTTAAAATATTAGCTAATAATAGTAGTCATCAAAGACTATATTGGCCATGGTCTATGATAGTGATCAGTGGCAGAGTTATCAAAGATATAAATAGCATATTTACAATAAGAGATCATATCAATCTATTCAATATAATTTTTTTAAATAAAAAATGATGATAAAATTATTTTTGTTATTATAATTTTAGTCCTAGCATAATTATTATTTTTTAAAAAAATATTAATTTTTTATTAAATTATTTCGCACTTCCTGACGTGGAGTCTTGACTTTGCCATTGATAGTGATTTGTCATAGTTGATTATCGTTTTATGAATAGAATATAGTGTGCTTTAAAAAAATAAAATGCAAAACAAATCTAATGTTTTTCATTTTTAAATTTTAAAAACAAAAAATAAGAACAATTTTAAAATATTTAAATTCAAATTCCTTAATTAAGTTTTTTTAAAATATAGAAAGCAATTTTTTTTAAAAAAAATCAAACCGGCCTTTAATTAGTGACATGTGAACAGAAAAGATCAACTTAAGAAAAACATATCAGCTTGTACATTAATTTGTGGATAGTGATAGAAGTCAGAAGAGAATGTCAATACTAAAAGCATTTTAAGAACAGAAACCCAAATCCAAAATAAACTCCTAAATGAAAAGTGGGAGGGGCTTTGAAACATGAAATAATTAATGTGACTGGATAAAAGAAGAATTGTAAAGAAAAAGAATTTACTATCTTACCATTCGAACTTTAATTAACTTGATTAATTTATAAAATAAAAAATAGAAAAAGCATAAGAAAAACCTGAGACCATAAACGGCCAGAAGACTCCATAGTTAATGATGTGCAATTGTCCGCCATTATGTTCCCTAAGCTTGATGGAAGCTCTGGAATATCTCTGAGTCTCTTGCAGTCATTCACTTCTAGCTTCACCATGTGAACACACTCCTTAATACATTCAGGAAGTGACGGGAAATCATTCCATGATAGATTCAAGTCTCTCACATGCTTAAAACATTTCAGAGTTTGGTGAAGATCTTCATCCAACAAACCACAATCATGGAGATCCAAGCGATCTAACTTCGAGCAGCTCATAATTGGTGGTTGGTTCTCTTGAAATAATTTCGTCAAAGATTTTCTCCCATGAAGTTTCAGACCTCCTAATAGAAGCGCTACAAGATTATCCAATGTCAATAAGCTGTTTGGAAGCTTCCTAAGACTTTTGCAGGATCTTAAAGTTAAACAGTGAAGCCTTGGAAGATTTCCAATGGAAGATGGGAGCTCATTAAAAGCACTGCCATCTGCATGGATATACATCAATGAATCCATGTTTCCCACAATGTGTGGGAAGTAGTCAAGACTCTAGCAATCATTGAGTTTGAGCAGTTGAAGAGATGGCATCTTGATTTCATGTGGAAAGCTTGCAAGTTTGATGCATTCACCAACGTCTAATTCGACAAGCTTACAGAGAGATCCCACTGAATTATGAACTTTGATCAGATTGTGACATTCACGGAAGCTCAATTCTTTCAAATTTTGAAACTGAGACATGTCAGGTACTTCTGTTATGAATTCACACTCTGAAAAATCCATATATGTCACATATTCAAGCTGCAAAACAAAAACTAGAATACTTTCACTTTTGAAATTGAATTTGGAGGCATTTAACAAGGGAGCTAAAAATGTGTAACTAACTTTTTATTTGACCAAGTTACCCTGATTAATTTTCAGTATTTATGTATCTTGAACTATTTATATATTTTTGTCCATTATATAAAATTCTATATTTTTATTGTTTAACATATTACAATTTTTATCACATTTTTTCAATCATTTCTAATATATTGCATTAGCATAACAAAAAATTACAAATAATAAAAATCAATGTCCTTTTTAGAAATAATACATCCAAAATCATTTTTAATTATGAAATCCAAATAATTTTCAATTTCTCAAACTGATTTTTGAAAAAAAAATATATCCATATACAAATTTCATTATAATATATAACTGATTTTTAATAAATGAACTTTAAATAAGAAAAATATTTTAAATATAAAACTCAAATCCAAATCCACCAATCTAAACACTGCCTCAAGAGATTTGTGCATATTTAAGAAATACATGAGAGGTTTTTTGAATGATCAGAATAAATAAAAGCACAGTGGAAATAATAATGTGTTCAAATGTACGGCTGAAGGAATTTGATCAAACAATAATAAGAAGAAGCCTTATTTCACTAGTTGGAGTCGGTTACGAATTGCATGATACCATTATACTCTATCATCAACTAAGCTTTTAGGACTATTATTAATTAAGAGTTCTTATTTAATGAACAAAGAGTGAAAAAATGTACCTTGAGTGGTTCCTCCCATCTGAAAGGGCTTCCGCATATCTTGAAGCAAATTAGTTTTGGAGGACAAAAATCGAGTGGTAAAATTGTGGAAGGATATCCCTGCCAATCAAGTAACACTAAACTATTTGGAAGATATTTAGGACTTGCTGAAAATTTGGTATTGCGAACAATAAGAATTCTAAGATTATTCATCTTCTCAAAGGCTAAACCACACCACTCCACTTCTTCTTGTTGAGGTGGATCAAGAATTATTCCTTCAATATTATTTCCTCCCTGTAATTCAAGCACAAAGATGAACAAAGTTAGGTATTGCCAAACTTTATTGTGTAATAATATATATATATATATATATATAATAAATTAAAAAGAATAACAAGAACTAGAATCTTACTAAGTTTTCATGCAGTAGTTTGAGAACATCTTTGTTAAACCATAATCTGTTACGTTCACCGAGATCATATGGTGCTTCTTCCCTAACAATCTCTCTTCCCATATGTTGTATTACCTCATGCATATGCAAGTGACCATCATCAAGAATAGTTATAAGAAATTTATCAACAAGAACTTCAATATAAAACCTTGCCCCACAATAACAAGCTTCTAGTATTGCTTCAACATTTTTCAAATTTCTCCTCTTTAAAGAAACAAGCAATGTCTAAAAAGATACGCTTAGCACCGTCTTGTAAGCAATCATAGCTTATCTTCAGTACATGATGAATTGTTCCTTCTGGGATCTCATCATATTGCTTCAATATAGATCTCCATTCCTCAATGCTTTTTTCTGCCAAATTGGAGCCTATTAATCTTAAAGCTAGAGGAAGACCATGCACATACCTTATAACATGAACCGACATGTTTTTACAGCCTTTCTTAGGTTGGCTCGTACCAAAGGCATACCAGCAAAAAAGTTCAAGAGAGTGAAGCTGATTTAGCTTCTTCATTTCATATGTTATTTTAACATTACATGAAATTAGCAATTGCTTATTTCTTGTTGTTATAATGATCTTGCTTCCAGATCCAAACCAATCGCACCCGCCAGCAAGTTGTTCTAATTGTTCAACCTCATCAACATCATCAAGAACCAACAAGACCTCTTTGCGAGAGAGTCTGTGTTTATGTTTGAGATTCCTTCGTCAATGCTACCAAACTTCATCCTCTTCTCTTCAAGAATCTCTGATAAAAGTGTCTGTTGAAGGCGAACAATGCCTTGATACTTGTTTGATGCTTCTTTGACATCAAACAAAAAACACGAGCCTTCAAATTGGTAAAAGATTGAATTATAGATAGCTTTGTCAATCGTTGTTTTGCCAACTCCACCAGTTCCATGAATCCCGAACATACAAACACGATCATCAGATTTATTCAGAAGTGACATGACCTCCTCAATACGAGGCTCAACTCCAACCATATGATCAGTGTTATGGTAGCGCTTAGGAGGCAGCAAAGCATATGCATCTTCGACAATCCTTTCAATAAATCCCAACTCATGCCTACAGAAACACATTCGCTTTTTACTTTCATGATGATTCATGATAAAATGTCTTCTTTTGTATGTTTTTGATCGTTTATAACATATTTTTGCAATAAAATCTTGTTATAATTCTTCAACGATAACACCAATATATGATTATGCTCTTAGTTTTTTTCACTATGCAAAAGTTTTTTATTTCAAATTATAAATCCATAATAATATTGTTGCTGCTCCAGTGGTCACATTTAATTAAGTAAAACCAAAAAATAATCAGGGTAAAAAGAATGTAAATGCAAAAGAATAAAATATTTTTTTAGTTAAGCAAAAGAATAAAATATCAAGCAGTTGCGTAAGTCTCTTTGGCAAAAAAGAACAATAAATAAAAATTATCAGCATTTTCAGATATAAAATTTAATCCAGATTACACCTTGCACAAAATATGAACAATATAATTTATTTTTTAGACTCAATATAATATACAAGAAGATCGATGTGTCTGGTTTATTTAAAAAGCTAAATGAATTTATTTTCATAAATCATTGTCCCATATAGTATTGCGTTCCAAAAGTAGATTACTGGAATTAGAATAAGAACTGGATTCAAAAGCCTTTAAGCCAAAATAGTACGACAGCCAGGATGAATAGATTGTATGCTTAAAAGCAGATCTTCTGCTCGATTTATCAAGAACGTCACATACTCACATTTGATGTAATAGGATAATTGTTTTGTGGATCTTGGACATTTCAGCGATCCAGTGATTATTATATTAGCAGTTGCTCCCTCCATTTTTCATTGTTAGAGAAACTTTCACTTTTTATTTGTATTTTCTTATAAGAAGAATCGCCCATTTCAATAAATATTTATTACACATTTTTTAAATACCTCTCATAATTTATATTAATAAAAAGTATTTAATGTATGTTTATGTTGATTAACACAGAATATTTTAGTTTAATTTTTTTATTTTCAGACATAATTATTATAATTAACTGACTTTTTTAAACTACGTAGTATAGTTTTTTTCATATATAGAAACAAAGGAAGTACTAAATAAAATATAATTTTATGATTTTGTTGGTAAAAATAAAAAAAATTATGGTTAACTTGTAATATGAAAATTTTTATGTTTGAAACATTAACTTTAAGATTTTTTTTAAAGACTCAAAATAATTAAATACTTTAAAAAACCAATACTATTAAGGCCCCAAGTTCATAGAGATTGACATTTAGATTTCCAAAATTGGAGAGAGAAAACAAAACGGGGATAAGAAATGAAAAATATGTATCTTAACTTCAAAATTTTAATGCTCGAGTTGATGATCTTTTCGCTTTTATTAATTAAGCTCGATCCATGCGACTTTAATTTCGATATCAACTCAAGTGCGCTTATACTTGGACATTTTAACATATAGCATGTTAAATATATAATCAAAAACCACCAATATATTGATAAAAAATCTCATAATGAAGAAGGAAATCAAATAAAACCTACCCATCGTCAAAAAGCCACGCTGATGATAGGCTAGCAGCTTCAGACAGAGCAGACCTCCAGTTTCGCACTTTCTGTGAGTCATCTATGAACCTAACTTCAAGAGCAGCCATGGCTTCATCAAAGCTACTTCTCTGATACTGAACATCCAACGGATCCACCTTGTAGAAGATGGGCATCACCAGCTGGTCCGTCTGCTTCCTACACCAAACGATGTGGGCGAGTTCCTCGAGGCACCATGTGGAAGTAGCGTAGTTGGTAGAGAAGACAATAATGGAAATTCTGGATCTCTCTATGGCTTTGAGAAGCGTAGGAGAGATCTCTTCCCCTTTGCCAAGCTTCTTGTCATCAATGAAGGCGTTGATTCCCTTACGTCGCAAAGCATCGTAGAGAATTTCAGTGAAGGAGTGACGAGTATCTTCGCCTCTGAAACTCAGAAAAACGTCATATTCATATCTGTACCTGCTGGTTTCACTGGTGAAGCTGAAGGACGATGGTGTGGCCACTTGAATCGCCATAAGATAGCTGCGATAATCGCAACGATGAAGTTAAGGTTTAAAGCTGAGGTTTTGATAGGTCCATCGATTTCATTTGGGCGTTGTGATGTCCGATATCTCCCAAGTCTATGGTTAAGTTCCAATCCAAATGGTGCAGAAGATTATCCCCGAAAATAAATAATTAATAAATTTACCAAAAACTAAATTATTAAAGAGTTACATATGGAAAGAAAAGAAAAAATATTATGCTGAGAGATTTATAGTAGGAATCATTGTTTTACATTTTTGAATGACTCAATATATAAATTGTTGTGTGCGAGGCCAAATTTTTAATATAGATATTTATTGGTAGTTAAAATTATTTTAATAATAGTTATCAAAAGTAATTTTAAAAAATATTATATTAATATGAATATCAAAGTGATAAATTAAACAAGCCTCTCCAGTCAATGCTGAAAATGGATCCAAATTAATAATGTGCAGAGGATGGTGCCTTGTTTTTGTTTGACTTTTATATCGTTTCTTGAAGTAGCTGTTTTTTTTTTTAATAAAATAAAGCAAATGATGCAGGTGATTGATCCGACATTTGTCTTTTTTCCTAATTTATTTTTTTTAATTTCGTTTTAATGGACTCAATAACCTGAGGCGGACTCCAGATGCTTAGTGTGCGAGGCAAAATTCATAAAAAATAATATAAATATTTTTATTTTTAATTTAAGTGATTATAACATCTATCATAAATAATTTTTTTATATAAAAAATGATTAAACAACAGTCTAACCTGTTTATACTGAAAAAGGATCCAAAAACGGTGCAGAGGATGAAGCCTCGTTTTTGTTTGACTTAGCTCGTATATTTCTTGCAGCACTTGTTCTGAAAATAAATAAATAATTAAAACACTATACGAAAATATTTTGTTTCACTCAGTCAATATATATTAGATTCTTAAATTATAAATTTTTTATTGAATTCTAGATTTTTTTTAACTAAGAGTCAATGGTTGATGACATAATTTCTTCTGTTGGATATTCTTGTCTTTCTATTGCAGCAATATTTGATTGATATTTTATATTTTGTAATACCAAGTTGTTTTTAAATCGCTAATGACAAGTTGTTTCAGTTGCAAAGCCACCTACCTATGAGGAAGAGGGGTTCAAACCCTGTATTGATATGTGTATATATATTGATGCATGAATTGTAAATAACAATTGATTACTTAAACAAAATTGGGTGTAAATAAAGTCGGCTTGTTTATTAGTGGGAGAATATCTCCCAACATAATGTCACGCACCTACAAGACTCTAATTTAAGACTGTATTGCATTACTATTACTTGTCCTTCTTAATTGGTTCTGCCATAGGATTTGAACTTTTGAAGATCAAGTGTAGCTTTAGTGCATCACAGTCGAGGCCATTTGAATGCCTACGTCTACTAATAATAGTATTTTTCCTCTACATCTGTTGATTAATTAAGGGTGAATTATTAGACTATACTAATTGAACTGGGCCAGTTATAATTAATTTAATATTTTTAAATAATACATAAATTATAAAATATATTCCTTCATGACCATAAACTAATATCTAAATAAAGAAATATTCAACCAAAGGATAAAAAATATAAATCATTTATATTTTTTAATTAATTTGAAAAAAATACAAATATATTTAGTAGGTTTCATCCTCTCTCTATTTTGTTTTGTTTTATTTTGTTTTTTAACGAGTATGAATAACATAGAGATTTTCATAAATATCAAATAAGACTTAATAATATTAATTCAAAATTCTTTTCAAAAATATTTATCTAAACCAATGGCCTGGATTTTCTAGATGTAGAGGGAAAGTATTATCAGTAGATATAAATATTCAAGTTTGTAAAGAGGAACTGTGAAGTGAAGGTAGATGAAAATCGAAAATGAGAAAAGGGAGATGAAAAGGGGCCAGGCTAGGAGAGATGCAAAGTGTGAGAGACTAAATTAGGAGAAAACTGAAAACAAATATAAGAAAGGTGAAGTGTATCCGCAACAACTCATCTCCATATCAGGAAATATTTTATATTTTTGATCCCCTGCATTGCTCCTTGCTCCATAAATATTTTATATTTTTCATTTACCCTACTATACTATTGAAGAGATGTTTGAGGTATATTTCCAATTTTATTGTTTATTTTTTGTTGAAACGTTTAGTTTAATTTTTATATTTTTTAACAATTTTTTTTTGCATGCATATGTTTAAATTGTGATTTTAAATTTTTAATTTTTAAAACTAATTAATTATACTAAAACATGATTTGTAATAGGTTGTTCATAAAGTTTTAAAACTTTGAATTGAATCCTATTTTTATGGAAAATATATCATTTGAGGAGTAACGATATTCAACTAAATTTTATGAATTGAATTCTAAACAACACTAAATCAGGATAAATTTAAAAATCTTGCTATTATATTTAAAAATTTTATGCTATATAATTTATTTAATTTTATATCTAAACAACTATATATATATATATAACATTCTCAAATAATTTTAATTTATATATATAATTTTGCTAATATATTTCCTTATAAAATTAGTTTTATTGCCGTGATTAACTAGATGTGTGTCTATGATAATAATATTTATTATTTAAAAATTAATTATATTAAATTTTATTTTAAAAAATTTGACCCCCCGATCACGGGAGAGCTGGGAATACGGGCGGGCCCAGCCCTTAAGGGCCGAGCCCTAAAGCCCAGTTTTCTATTTTGAACCTCATTTCTCAAGCTCGGCCCTTATGTGAAGGGCTCAGGGCTGGGCCTGTAAGCCCTTTTTTAAAAAAATAAAAATAATAAAAATAAAATTAAATATTATAAAATAATTAAAATATTCTGAAATTAAAAAAAATAAAATTCTCATAATTTTTTAAAAATTAAACAACACACTTTTAAAAGTCTAGTAATAAAATTTAAATCTTGATTAAAAAATAATTCATTTTTTATAAATACACAAACATAATAATTATAGAAAAATAAAAAATATCAGGAATTTTATACTATACACTAATATTTATTGAATTATATTAAATTAATTTTAGAATAAATTAAAATTAATAATAATATAATGTGTGTAGGATCAGGTGAGCAAGTCATTGGCTTCAAACACATGTTCCACCAAAGAAAATAATAATAATATAACAGGGCTTGAAGGGCTACCCGAGCTCGAGCCCTTTTTTACAAGGCTTATCAGGGCCAACCTCTCAAGCTCGATTACTTAAAAAAAAATTATTTTCAAAGCTTGAACTCTTATTTAAACAGGGCCTTCAAGCCCGGCCCTCCAGGCTTGGCCCTTTTTCCCGGCACTAGTCACGGGTCCAAAATCCGCCATTCTGGAAACCATTTAGTGATTGAGATATTTTCTTGGCCACTACCATAGGCAGAATCAACACCTGCTTCTTGATGAATTTTAATCAATTAATTAACTGATAATAGAAACTTTAAAGTATTGTTTGTCATATATGGTTGTCGGAGTCTTGGTCTATTGAAAGCATCGAAGGTTATTTGATTCTGTAGGCTCAAGGCTGTACATCACAAGCTGTTATATAACACACACATGTACATACAGACATACATACATATGGGTATTTGATGGTATTTGATTCTGTAAGCATTGGGAAATTTTGAGAAATGTTAGAACATATGACAGCCTATGAGATTTTTCATGGTCAAGTATTTAAGTTACAAAAAATTCAGAAACAATCAAAATTTAATTTTACAAGTACAAAAGCATACCAATTAAGATAAACAATAATTATCTTGAGTAATACTCACCTTGGTCCTAATTATATTGCAAACTTTTAAAGTCTTATTTAATTCTATATTGTACTACCTCCATATCAAATTATAAGTTAATTTTGGAGAAGATTTGTTGTCTCAAAATATAAAATAATTTGATAAAAAATAAAGGTTATTAAATGCAATTTTTCAATATTATCCTTCCCTCCTTATTTCTCTCTCTCTAATCATTTAAGGTTATATTAAATGAAGGGTATTATGGAAAAATTATATTTTTTAAGAAAATAAAGTTGTAAAATGTATTTAATAAATTGATCAATATGCATAATTTTGTCTAAATTTATCTTACAAATTATGACGGAGGAAGTGATAGTTAATTTTTTTTTTCAACATTACCCAACTTAATTGCACTGAGTTGTAATTGCTAGACACACTTTATTATGGTCATTAATTAGTGAAAGACTAGATTAAAAAGTCAAACGTTTTTTTATAACTTCAAGAGTATCAACTACTACTATTCTTTAATAACTGTAAGATTTATTAACTTTGCCTTATAATTTAGATTTGAGGGAATATTAGAAGTGAACATAAAAATATAAAAAAATTATTGCAAATAACATTAATGAACTAGTGTAGTTCCACTTGGGTGTCTTTAGGAATCCGATACTTTCACTGTTAGAACAAGTGGATGACAATTAATTTTCATTTTTGCGAATGAATGGATCGTAAAATTTAGTGTAAATGATATCTCAAGTCTTAATGCTTTCTTTGGCATAATCGGACATAACCAGCGAGGGGGTTAACTGTTTAAGGCCCTACTGACAATTAATTTTGATTTTTATGAATATTAATAAGTTAATGCCACATTTCTATCAAAAATAAAAAATAAAAAACACTACGTACATGTCGCGTGTCTCTCAGATGATCGGATCCGATGCTTTCAATTATTGAACGAATCAAAAAGTGAAAATGCTCTATGCACGTGAGAGATGCTTCACTACTGCGCTCGTTAAAAATAAAAATAAAAATAAAAATAATAATTATTATTATAGAAAGAAATAATAAAAGGAAAAGAAAGAGGAAAAAATGCTGCAATGCTTTATTTGATACTGAAAGGACCGACACGATTAGAGGCTCAAACATAACACATGACGATTAATTAAATTTTTTTCATAGATAATTAAAAATAAATTTGAGCTACGATAAGAAAAATGAACCTCACCTTTGCAAGCAGATTTTATTATTATTATTTTTTTAACCAGGAAGATCGGATGCATGGCCAATATCGGAACGGTTTCTTTCAAAACATTGTTTTTAAAATCTAAAACATGCTTTGTTTAGTATTATATAAATTTTGAAAAATAAATCATACTATATTTTTTAAAGGGAGGGAATATATAATTTAAATCTTCCCAGGTTAATGCATTAGATATTTTTTAGGGAATATATAAACTCTGATTGTGGCGGCGCAAATATAAATCTAATAATATATTATTCCTTTTTTGCATTTCATTTTCCACTTAAAAGGTATCACATTCTTCCACATCCAATGCCTGTATGTCAGTTACGTCAATTCCAAATAAAGAATCAAATTCCAATGATTACAATGTTTTGTTGAATTTTAGAAGCGAATCAACATTCCATGCGAACATAAAAAACAAGCACATGCATGCAACCATCTTGTAATGCCATTTTCTTTTCCCTTTTATAAAGAGCTTCCGTTGGATGTGCAGTACTGTACTCCCACAATTTTAACCAATAATGTCGCGTTACAGTTCTAGTTCTACTTATGCAATTACACAGAGCATAGAATTTGAAAAGAGATATAATATTTAGAATTTAAAAATATTGCAGTTTTATTATAAGTATATATTAGGAAAAAAAAATAAGACTAAAGGACAAAATAATATTTACTTTAAAAACCTTAAATTTATAATTTTTTAAAAAATGTGAAAGGATTACATGAACTCAGCCAATTTATATTAAAATGGGCTACAGTTCCCTTTTTTTTTAAAAAAGATCAAGCATTGAACAAGCTAAGCTCTATTTAACTTTCAAATCATCCATTAACGATATGACAATTTGAGCATTAATTATAATTCCTGCTGAAAAATTACATCAAATCTATCTAATTCCCCAAAATAAATGGTTGAAATTTTAGACATTAGAGGGAACAGTAGAGGGCAGCGGACATGCATTCTAAATCCATTCTTCCTTCTTCCAGCAGGCGAATGAACTTTAATTTCTCGGGAGCTTCTTGGGTGGTTCATTATGAAGCGAATCTATCTCTCTTCGTTTCAGTGAAGTTGTTGAAGCATTCATGGAAAGCAGATCAGAAGACTTGAACTGAACATTCTCCATGTTTGTTTACTCCTTATCGACGACATAAACACCACAGTTAACTATGGAGATACCAGGTGGGTCACATGTAAAATGTATCTCCACGTCATTCCAATCGAGTCCCAGAAACTTGTTAAGCCCCTCTAACTCTTCATCATTAAAATTCCATTCTAGATCCGAGAGAAACACATGACCTTGTTTACCAAAAAAAGACTCCAAATCACGAACTTCTTCCCGTTCAACAAAACTACCATAATCATCATCACTTAGGTTGCATGGTATGTTGCGACCATTGATGCTCAAGAAAACTTTGAACAAGTATGTCGTACTTGTGTTGGATTTCTCCGACTCAAGCGCCACGAAAATATGAGGGAAAATTTTTCCTCGAACACGAAAACACAATGTTGCTCCTTCACAGCAATAGTCAAACCATTCTGGAAATGTTGTTGCTGGCATACCTATACCCACGAAAGAGCTGTTTCTTGCCTGATTCATCAAAACAGTAACGACCAAAGGCGTTTTCAGCTTTGAAGACAATAACGTTATGCAATAATTTAAGAGACAAGATCCTAATTCTCATACTCAAAATAGAGAGACAGGACTTGTATACTGAAGGTACTTGTTTCCAATTAAATCAACTGAATCTTTTGTAAATTATTTATTATATAACAAATTATTGTTATTAATGTTATTAACATATTAAAATCCACTTGTATAGATTTTTGTATTTATTTGATTTGATAAAAGTAGACTAAGTATATAAGCTTAAGTATATAAGTCTTACCAAAATAAAAAAGTGTTAATAGAGTTTGGTAGGTGATTTCACATATACACCAACGGCGCTGATTGTGTTATCTTGCACCCGAAAACAGTGACAATGAGACTTCCTCCAGTTTTAAATGTATAGGAGCGATTTAAGTAATTTGTTTTGGTTTTGAATGTAAGATATAAGACCTCAATCTTCTTTCTCTCTCCTATTTAGTATCCCCCCAAAAAAAAAACTATAATTGTACACGTTAATTAATTAGTACAATCAATAGACTCCAGACAATACAAATAGCTAATTTAACATAACTTATTAAAAGGAAGAGTATTTTTTTAATACATCTTTTTTTACAAATAATTAATTTAACTAATTATGTAATTTATGTGAATTAGTTATTAAACTTTTACATTTAAAGCCAAGGGAATACATTTTCAGGAATGGAAAAGAAAATTAAAAAAAATCTCCCTTTTCAAAAATAGAGGTGCTTCCCAACATGAATGCATTTATGATATTTTATTATTTTCTGAGATGCTAGAGAAATGAATACGGAAAATGAAAATTACCAATAAGAATTAGAAAATGAATAAGAAAATAGCAAAAGCATGAGAATAATTAACCTGAGACCATAAACGGTCTAACGACTCTGTAGTTAATGACGTGCAATCCTCTGCAGCTATATGCTGCAACGTTGATGGCAGCTCTGGTATGTCTCTTAGCCTCTTGCAATCACTCAGATTTAGTCTCTCCAAATAAGCACACTCTTTAATGCACTCAGGAAGGGACACAAAATCATTCCCTGGAAGATATAAATCTTTCACATTCTGAAAACATGTCAGAATCACGTGAAGATCTTCATCTAACAGACCACAATTCGCGAGATCCAAGTTCTCTAAGTTTGAGCAGCTAAAACCAACTGGTTGGCTCTGTTGCATTACTGTGATCAGAGATATTATACAAGCATGTTGAGTGCCTGACAACTCAAGCTCCTTAAGATATTCCAACTTCAATAAGCTAATTGGAAGCTCTCTAAGATATGTGCAAGAGCTTAAAACTAAACGATCAAGTTCCGGAAGATTTCCAATGGAAGGTGGGAGCTCTGTAATAGCAGTGTCTTCTGGCAAAATTTGCATTAGATATTCCATCTTTCCTACAATGCTTGGGAAGTAATCAAGACTCTTGCAATGACTGAGATCAAGCTCTTGAAGAGATGTCATGTTGATTTCACGCGGAAAGCGTGTCAATTTGGTGCATTCACTAACATCTAATCTTTCAAGCTTAGAGAGACATCCCACCGAGTCATGAACTTTGATCAGATTGTGACATTCACGAAAGCTCAGTGTCTTTAAACTTTGAAATTGTGACAAATCAGGTACTTCAGTTATCAATTCACATAGTGAGAAATCCATGTCTGTTACATATTCAAACTTCTGCAAAACGAAAACGAAGGCTATTTAGTTAAACTTATAGTATCTGTAAGAGAGATTAACTTTTGGGTAGGATATTCCAACCTCCTTTCAATATATATCTAATCGGATACTGAATTTCTGAGAAACCCCCTTGGTACTAAAAAAAAAAAAGAAACACATGCATGCACGTTCAAGCTCTGAACAAAATATGTGTATAAAAAAACCTTTTTTGTTAGCCAGTGGCGCTTGATTCAATTAGTTGAGAAAATTGAATTGACTTATTTTAAAATCTTGACTTTAAATTCTAAGATATGCAATCATGTTAAATAAAAATACCAAAGACGTCTCTGATCAAGGTATCTATGAGGTTACTGTTGGTAATAATAATTTTACACAATAAGGGTTCAGATTATTCTAAGTGGGTAGTGGTAATACCTCCATATTTTTTAGGATACTAGGGAAATAGAAATAAAAAAAAAACTCCTTTGTTTTCAATAATGGATATATGTACGCATATTATACATATGCCTTTTATGATACAGAAATTTTACCAAATTAAATAGTGAAGAGTTGGGGAAAAAATGTACCTTGAATGGTTCTTCCAATGTGAAAAGACTTCCATATAACTTGAAGCAAACAAGTCTTGAAGGAGAAAAATCTGGTGGTAAAGTTGCAGAAGGATATCCTTTCCAGTCAAGTAATCTCAAACTATTGGGAAAGCATTTAGGACTCGTTGAAAATTGGGCATTTCGAACAATGAGAATCTTGAGATTATTCATCTTCTCAAAGGCTAAACCATCCCATTCCACTTTTTCTTGTTGAGGCGGATTGAGTATTATTCCTTCAATATTACTGCTTCCCTATAATGCATGCTCAAGGAAGCAATGTCAGAATATTGCCCAATTAGCATAACAAATTTATTGTATATGACTATATAAACATATAAAAATAGAACATAAGATTTAGATTCTTACTAAATTTTCACATAATACTTGAACAACATCTTTGTAATGCCATAATCTACTGCGTTCACCAGGACTTGATGCCTCTTGCCTGACAACTTCTTTGCCCATTTGTTGTATTAGGTCGTGCATGTACAAGAAACCATTATTATCATCAATATTTATCAAAGATTTATCGACAAGAACTTCAATATAAAACCTTGCCCCATGTTGACAGGCTTCCAGTATGTCTTCAACAAATTCCAATATCTCATATTTAAAGAAACAAGCAATATCTAGAAAAATACGTTTGGCAGCGTCTTGTAAGCAATCATAGCTTATCTTTAGTACCTCATGGATTGTTCTTTCTTGGATTCTCTCATACCGTTCCAATGTAGATCTCCATTCCTCTAAGTTTTTATGTGTCAAATTGGAGCCTACTAATTTTAATGCCAGAGGAAGACCACGTACATATCTTATGACACGAGCAGACATATTTTCATAGCCCTTTGGAGGTTGGCTCATTCGAAATGCATGCGAACAAAAGAGCTCAAGAGAGTCGTCCTCATTTAGCTTCTTCATTTCGTATGTGTTTTTAACATTACATGCAATCAGCAATTGCTTATTTCTTGTCGTTACAATTATCTTGCTTCCACGACCAAACCAATCACACCCTCCGGCAAGTTGTTCTAATTGTTCAACCTCATCAACATCGTCAAGAACCAACAAAACATTCTTGTGAGAGAGCCTGTGTTTTATGTTTGATATTCCTTCATCAGCACTACTAAACTTCATCCTCTTTTCCTCAAGAACCTCAGATAAAAGTGTCTGTTGAAGATGAATAATACCTTGATATTTATTCGATTCTTCCCGAACATCAAACAAAAAACATGCACCATCAAATTTGTGGAAGATTGAATTATATAAAGCTTTTGAAAGGGTTGTCTTGCCAATTCCACCAGTTCCATAAATCCCCAACATACAAACAAGATCATCAGATTTATTTATGATTGACATCAACTCCTCTACGCGAGGCTCAAGTCCAACCAAGTGATCAGTATTATGGAAGCGTTTAGGAGGTAGCATAGAATATGCTTCTTCAACAATCCTTTCAATAAACCCAACTTTGTTTCTGCAAAAGGACAAATTCTCTCCATGATTTATGTAAAATTCCTTCTTTAATTTTGTATTTGTTCCCATCTTTTATTACATACTCTCTTCGGTCCCTATTATAAGACATCTTCAACTAACTTACTAGAATCAAGGTGAGGTAGTTAAGTTATTAACTTTGTCTGAAAATATGATAAACTTTCAATTTTACCCCTACTTAAATGAAAATTTTTTAAATTTGCATTATATTATCTCTCATAGTTAATTAATGAGTTTATATAGAGGTAATACTGAAAAAATGTAATTAATACCTCACAGTGTGTCTTATACTAAGGAGCAAAAAATACTTTTAGAAGATGCCATATAATAGGGATAAGAGGAATTATACATTTTTCAATAAAATCATGTTTTATTTGTAACCTCAATGTCAATAATCTCAATTTTTCAATTCCATCTCTATGGAAAAGTTTTTCAGATCCTGTTTTAAAATTATAAATTACTCCCTCCGTTCCTATGTATAAAATGTTTTTAACCAAAATTTGTATACCAATAAAAGTTTGTTATTTAGTTGAAATTATATAAAATCACAATAATTTTTTTAATTTTTCCTCTAATAATGTCACAATTAATATAATACAATACACAATTAATGTCTCCTCCATTTTTTAAGACAATGAAAAAATTGTCTAATTATTTAAAAATATCATGACACACTCTTATATTTAGAGACAAAATAAACTTTTGAAAAACAAATTATATGTGGGGCCAGAGGGAGTATATATTTGCAGCTCAAATGATACTAAGTAAATTTATATGGAACAATCCAAGGAGACTGGCTAAAACTGTAGAGTCGATCGGGAGATTATATGGAACAAAATTAAACCTTTAAATTTAAAAATAATAAAAATTCATTATGAATATCAAATATAGAATTTATTCGCCCTTATAAATAGTATTGCATTCCAAATTAAAGTATAATTATTTGGAGTACTGGTAAGAACAGGCTTGAGAAATTCAAAAAAAAAAATAAATTAAATACCCATCACAAAAAAGTACCGTTAAGACCCCATGTTTGCAGATGCAGAGATTATAATTGCAAGAGCAACCAAAAAATAGTGAAAAGAAAACAAACAAACAAACCAACCTACCCCTCTCCAAAAAGCCATGCAGATGACAAACTAGCAGCTTCATACAACGCAGACCTCCACTTGCACACTTTCTCCGCTTCATTCTTGAACCTACCAACTTCATGAGCAGCCATGGCTTCTCCAAAGCTATTTCTCTGAAACCGAACATCCATGGGATCCACCTTGTAGAAGATGGGCATTACCAGCTGGTTCTTCTCCTTCTTACACCGAATGATATGGGCAAGTTCATCAAGGCACCATGTGGAAGTAGCGTAGTTGGTAGAGAACACAATAATGGAAATCCTGGATCTCTCTATGGCTTTAAGAAGCGTAGGTGAGATCTCTTCCCCTTTGCCGAGCTTCTTGTCGTCAATGAAGGCGTTGATTCCCTTCCGGCGCAAAGCATTGTAGAGAATCTCAGTGAAGGAGTGGCGAGTATCTTCGCCTCTGAAACTCAAGAAAACATCGTATCTGTACTTCGTTTTGCTGGTGAAGCCAAGGGATGATATTGCTGGCACTTGAATCGCCATGGATCTGAGATTTGAAACGAGAGAAATTTACACAATGTTTGAAGCGTGGAAGACGGTGGGAAATTTATTGGATGTAGCGATGAGATCCGATAGTATCATAAGTCAATGGTGAAGATGCCGAGTTTTTGTTTGACTTGTATCTTGCAATAATGTTTGTGAAAATAATAAAATTAACGCTACTGGCTTCTTAGGAAGAGTGGCTCAATTGAAGGAATTAAGTGTCCTGCATTTTGGACTAAGTTTAGATTGAAAAAAAAAGTTGTTATAATTTGAACTGGACGGAGTATATATTTGTGTATTATTAGTTAAAATTATTTTTAAATTCATCATAAACATTTTAAAAACTTATTTTATTATCTAAGAATCATAAAATAATAAACTAAATAATACTCTCACCAGTGATTGGTGAAAATTGATCCAAGCGGTGCAGAAATTATTTTTCCCTGGTTTGGCAAATGGTGTAGAAGGTTATACTTAGTTTTTATTGTTTGACTTGCATATTATTTCGGGAAGCAATTGTTTTGAATATAAAAAATTAATTAAAAAATCAAGTGAAAAAAAATATTAAGTCAAAGTCAGTACATGTTAGATTATTGAGAGATAACTTTTCAGTGAATTCTAGATTGTTTTTTTTTTCCTTTACGATCTATAGTCAATGGTTGATGACATAATTTAATCCGTTGTTTTTTGGCCTTTGTGACAATATTATTGGTATCATATGCTACTCGCTAGCTTGAGTCTAAATTGAGTCCGCTTAAGAGTGAAAGAAGCTCTCAATATAATTTATCTCAATCATCCATTTGGTTCCAAAAAATTCAATGGTTATTAGTTTGGTCCCTTAAAGTTTACCCCAATTATCAATTTGGTTCTTGTTGTTTATGGAGGAGAAAATTGCCGACATAAATTACAAAATATTAATGTCAGTTATATGCAGATTAATGAAAATAAATGTAATTATTTAGATAGAAAAAGAACAAACACAATTATAAAAAAAATGGAACAAAATGTAGTGTAAGAGATTGCACTGATAAAAATTAAATTGATTTGAGAGTTAATTTGTTTTTATTTAACTACATATACATATTAAGCCATCAATATACTTTATACCTTAAATTAATTTGAGAGTTAATTTGTGTCTTAAAACTTAAAAAACTAATATGAAAATTTAAGAAAATATAAGGGATCAAATCAATAAAAATTAAAATTGAGGGAACTAATAAATGAATTAAATTTGAATGGGTGAAAGTTTCATTATCCCATAATTTTTCTCTTACCAGCATAATTCAAATTTAATAGTGTCACGTTAGCTAAGAAGAACTTGCAGAAGCGTGCAGGTTTCAAAAGCAAATTGATAGGGACTGAACAATATTAATCCAATACTTTAAAAGATGCCTCATTTGTTTCTTTGAACGGATGAAAATGAAAATGTTTTGTACATAAGAGATGCTTCACATTATTTTGTAATATTAGATAATTATAAAATTTGAAAAATTAATCATATCATGTTATTTATAGTTTGTGAAATTCTGGATTATTGTAAATTTCATTATAAATGATTATCCTTGTTGATATGTTTTCACTATACTGATAATAATGGCTATGTTGAAGAGATATTGTTAAAAAAAAAGGTTAAAGACTAATTTTCTCCTTAAACTTTTTTTAGATGTGCTAAGCACCATAGAGTAAAAGGTGAGACAATATATCTCCTCTAAACAATTTTTTTAGGAGCAAAATCACCCTTCTGTTAAAGACCCATTATCTTCATCATTATCTATTGACAATGAGAAATGGGCTAAACAGGCTAGAAGCGGCAGTGGCAAGAACTAAGAGCCTAAATCAAAATGCCTCACTGTCTCCATGCGTCAGCTTCACAACTATTGCATGCATGTCAACTAATAACTAACAAAATGACGGTTCTATGAAGGAAGGACAACTTTGCTCCTAAAAATTTGTTTAAAAAGGATATTGCCCCACATTTCAATATAGGATTTCCAAAGATCTTAAAAAAATTAGGGGGGTATTGTTAAAAGGAAAAAATAGAGATATTGTTATTGGAACATAAGATTTAAAACTTCCCGAATCTATCAATATATTATTCCCTCAAGCAATTTTCCTTCCACCCAAAAAGTATCATGTTCTTCCGAATCCAATACCTCTCTATATGATAGATGTGGCAATTTCAAATCGAATAATGACAATATGTTGTCCTGAACTTTAGAAGTGATACAATATTCAATGTAAAAATGAAAGAGAGAACATGCAGCCAGCTGGTTATGCCATTTAATTTATTTTTAAGCTGGATCTGATAAATGTGATGTACAAGAATGACAGTTAGATATCAAAATATTAAATTAATAATAGTTAGGTTTTTGAAAAAATCTTTTTACAGGTGAGTTGCAAATATCTATTCAAATAGTTATATATATATATATATATAGGAATCTTAAATACAATCTGAGAATTATATTTGAAATATAAGTGTGTATTATCTGCAGCTAAAATTTCTAAATTTGCAATTACTTGAATCGATATTCTTAACTTATTTTTCAAAAAATTTTATCAATGGACATAAATGTCATTAATTCAAAATTTTAGGACTTTACTGTCATTCTCTATAATTATATAATACTCCTTCCATTTCATAATATAAGTCTCTTTTTTTAAAAAAAATTGTTTCAATTTATAGATTTTCTTAAAAATCCAAAGCGTAATTTGTTAATATTTTCTTCCTGTTATACCCTTATTTATGAATAATGTGAAAATGTTTTAATGCATTAAATTAGGAGACAATTTTATAATGTGGTCAATATTTTGATGCATTAATTGCATTTTTTAATCGATGTATCAAAATCTTAAAAATACTTGTATTTTGAAATAAAGGGAGTAATATATTTCCTTCAATCCCATATATAAGTCATATTCTTGAAGAAATTGATAGTCTTTTCTTATAAATCTCTTTTCATATAAAGATATATCATTATTTATTTTCTTCCAATTTTCCCCTTTCATTATTTTCTGTGAGTAGAGTAAAAAAATTACACATGAGAGAGGAAGTGTGTTTAAAGAAAAATGCATTTAATAGGAGTAAACTAGGAATTTTTTTAAGAGAACATCAATAATTTAATTACATCTCTTTGGGTTCAATAAAAAAGTTTTAATAAATCCATTTGCTGTTGTATATAACATGTCCCCTCATGTTTATTTTACAACTAACCTCACATGTTAACAAGTAAAATTCACTAAAACGACAAGTAGAGATGGAATTTTTAACAAGTTCATTTCTTTTTTGATTTCATCTTTTGGTATCCTGAAAAAAAAACTAGGGCCCTGTTTGGTATGAAGGAATGGAGGATTTGAGATTGGTATTAGAAAATGTTCAAATTGATGTGTTTGGTACGAGGGATTGAGGCTAACTTGAGATTGCTTAAAATCACTTACACAGGATTACTTAAATCCACCTACCCATGGTATTGAGAAACTAGTCCTGGGATTGGAAAATTTTTAGACAAAAATATCCTTGGTTACAATAATTTTCAAACAAAAGTGCCCCTCTGAATTTTGCCCCATATCATTCGATCTCCATGGCTGCAATACCAAAGTAGAGTATTCTCTACATCACTTCTATGTGTTTTATCACCTCTCGTCCACACTAATCTAAGCCCCTGCTATGTGAGATCATTATTACCAACAGCACCTCACAAGTGTCTCGGGAATATTTTTAACATATTTATTTAATATGACTGCATATCCTGAGAATTGAACTCAAGACCTTAAGATAAATTGATTTACTCTTTCAATCGGTTGAACCAAACACCTCTAAGTTTTTTACAAGTCCATTCCTGCCATGCTTGTTGGGATAAGTGACAGACTTAATCAGGGACATGTAAGCAGATAATTAGTTGAAATCAAATCAATTAGATTGCACATTAATTTGTGGATATAGAGATAGAAGGAAAATGTTAAAAGCATTCTAAGGAACGGAAAACCAAACTAAAAAAATATCTTCTTTTGAAAATTAAAATAGAGCGGCTCTGCAACATTAAATAATTAACTGATCTGGCTGAATAGAAGAAGGATAGCAAGAAAATAAAAATTTGTATACCTTGGTAGTTATATAATAATTGTCATTAGACAAATTAGAAACAAGATATAACATAACATTTACATCGTAAATATATATACTCAATTTATTCTGATAATACGTTAAAAAAAAAAGGAATTAATCGACACATAGGAATTAACAATTATGCATAAATCCTTTTTATTAACTAATGGTAATATTGATACCTAAGAGTACAAAGCTCTCCAAAGATGCTTAGCCATAGGAAAAAACATCTTTCTCTTGTACTGGGAATGAAAAATTTGGTGTCGTTTAGTTTTCCTACAAACATGGGAAAGGGGAAAAAATTAATGATAATCAAAAAACCATGAAACGACAATTAATACATAGGAAGCACAAAGTCTCACCTTGTCCTTTTCTTTGTGTAATTGGTCTTCTCTTTGAACCTTCGCAGGTGCTTCTTGTGTGGTTCGTTAGGATGAGAAGCTGTCGCTTTTCGTTTCAGTGAAGTTTTTGAAGCAACCATGGAAAGCAGAGGAGACTTGAACTGGATATTCTCCATGTTCGTTTGTTGCTTATCGACATAAATACCACAGTTCACTGTGGAGAGATCAGGTGGTTGACATGTAACTCGTATGTCCACGTCATTCCAACCCAAATCCAGAAACTTATTAAGCCCCTCCGACTCTTCTTCCCTAAAATTACTAAGCAGATCAAAGAAATATGCATGACCTTGATCGCCAGCTTTATAACAAACACGACCCCTTTTCCTTGCAACACGATCACTTTGTATCCATGGCATTTTATTACAACTATTGATGCTCACAAAAACTTCCACTAAGTGAATCCCCTTTGTGTTTGCTTTCCCCGTCTCATATGCGAAGACAATACGAGGGAAATTTCTACGAACACGAAAAGACAATTTTGCTCCTTTACAACAATAGTCTAACCAATCAGGAAATGTTGTTGCTGGCATAACAATTTCCACAAAGGAATCTTTTGCCTGATTTATCAAAACAGTAGCGACCAATGGCATTAATTGATTTGAAACTAACAATAAAAGAATACGTAAAGAGCAAGTGACATGTAAGCAGAAAGTTCAAGTTAGAAATCTTTTAGCTTGTACATTTATTTGTTGATAGAAATAGAAGAGAAAAGATTACATAGCTTAAGTTGTCAATAAAATAATTAAAGGAAAGTAAAACCTCAATTCACAATTGATGAGATCTATTAAAACTCGGGGGTAGAAAGGGGAAACCATTATAGACTTTTACATAATGCCTTATAATTTGGATAAATAAGAAAGTCTTCTAGGAGCACTACAATTTTTTTTTCCCTTTAGGCAACAATTTTCATTGTACTATTTTTAAAAAGTGTTACCTAATGTGAGTATAAACAGTAATTTTCATGTTACTATTGATCCCTGCTTCAAGTAATAATTAAAGATCTGGTAACATTTGTGTATGAGTACTACTATACTTCTCTACGATTTAATTTTCCTATTATTTATTATTGGGATTTATAGAACTTTTTTATCATTACATTTACATTTATAAGTTTCTAAATTCCCCAATTAAGGATGGAGCTTGATGGGAAAATTAATTTTTACTAATATTTTTTACTCTATGGATTTTTTATTTATAAATATAATTTGATTTTTCAACTATATCATTATTTCACACCAATAAATAAAATTTATGGGTGATCTTGATGAATTGAGTGGTGGATAGATATTTTTGATATAGAAAAATATACACAAATGAAGTTAAGGTGGGGATAGTTTTAAAGATTTGTGCCGACTTGAAACTTTTTCTTCATGGTTTAATTATAGTTGTTTAATTATATATAATGCCATATGCTTGTGAGACCGATCACTAATGAGTACCTTATGAGTCACATGATTAATTTGATTAATCTTAAAAATAGCAAAAGAAAAAGGAGAATATAAAAGCATCAGAAAAACCTGAGACCATAAACGGCCCATCGACTCCATAGTTAACGACGTGCAATTCTCTGCATTTATGTTCTGTAGCATTTATGGCAGCTCTGGTATGTCTCTTAGCCTCTCGCAGTTAGTCAGATATAGACACTCCAAATACGCACACTCTTTAATGCACTCGGGAAGTGACACAAAATCATTCTTTGAAAGATCCAACTCTTCCACATTCTGAAAACATTTCAGAGTTAGGTGAAGGTCTTCATCCGATAGACCGAAATTGCTGAGATGCAAGGTCTTTATATTTTCACAGCAAATAACTGATTGACTCTGTTGCATCAGTTTCTTGAAAGATTCTCTACCAAGAGGGTGAAGGCCTTCCAACAAAAGATACCTAAGTTTTGGCAGCGTCAATAGGCTATTTGGAAGCTCCCTGAGACTTGTGCAGTCACTTAAATGTAGGCCGAAAAGCTCTGGAAAATTTCCAATGGAAGGTGGGAGCTCTTTAATAGCAGTGTTTGTTACCGAAACCATAAAGACATGTTCCATCTTTCCTACTATATGTGGGAAGTTGTCAAGACTTTTGCAAAGGTTGAAGTTAAGATCTTGAAGAGATGCCATGTTGATTTCATGTGGAAAGCTTGTAAGTTTGGGGCAGACGCTAACATCTAATCTCTCAAGCTTGCGGAGAGATCCCACCGAATCATGAACTTTGGTCAGATTGCGACATTTACGGAAGATCAATGTTTTTAAATTTTGAAATTGCGACATATCAGGTACTTCAGTAATGAACTTACACTTAGAGAAATCCAAATATGTCACATATGTCACGTATTCAAACTTCTGCAAAACAAAAAACTAGATTATATTTAATTTCGAGTAGAACCCGAACATTCAGTTTATCTAAAACACATGCACAAAAACAACTATAATTCAAAGAAAAAAAATCTAACATAATTTCTATTTCTCTATTTTATATATTTAAAACCTTAAAATATTGATAAAAATACCTGCCGTTGGATAATAAAAAATATATGGTTGTTAAAATTAAAAAATTAATTACAGGTTACTGTATTGCTCCATATAACAATACATTTTTTTTTTTTGGGCTTATGCATAGATGTCCTCCTCAATGCGGACAGTTTTTCTAGCGGAATTTTGAACATTGGTTTTTTATATTGTGAAGGACTAGCTCATTACACTAGAATCTCCAAACCTTGATGATGATACACAATAGTTTTAATTCCATTAATAGCATGCCATCACAACATTTATAAAATGTCAAATTAAGTTTAAAATATGTTAAATCCTAATTAAAGGGTCCTTTTACTTTTTTTATTTTTTTTGATGGTTTTGAATCCTAAATTGTTCCATTTCTAAGTATTGATCTTTTCGCTCAATATGCATGTATAAAACCATCTATTGTTTCCTAAAAGTGTTCGGAAAATGTGTTTGTATAATCATTTAAATTTAAAGTGTGTCGTTTGGAAGTTGTTTTGACTACTTAGAAGATATGGCGTACCTTAGAATCTCATCTATTGAATATCTTTATCTTTTATATATGCTAGAATGTATTTTACTTTATGCATTTTTATGGAAAGATATTCCAATCACGATAGCTTAATATAAAAAGAAAATCACAATTAAAGTCCTTCTTAAACCATTAATTTCAATTGTAGATATTCAATAAAATTTTATTGAAGGACCCAAGGACTATCGAAATCGCACTGCTTCATTTGTCAATGTCAAGTAACTCGTGAAAAATAGGTAACCTAATTGGAAATGGGGTTGTCTCCTAGTGTCAGAGTCTTGGAGAACCCTAACTTTTCTTTTTTCTCACAATTGTCTAATACTTTTTTTTATATAAAAAAAGTTTGTATAAGTTGGATCCTGTGAGGACTTATTAGGACCAAAGCATGCTTCCATACTCAAAAGGTTTTTACATTGGTATTTACATATTGCTCACAAACAAAGTCCTCACATGACAGCAAGATTTGAATCTACAGCTTTATAGATTAAAGGCCAAATCCTTACTAACTAGATCAATCTTTATTTGGTCACCATTGTCTGTTGCTAAAAATTCTTAATTTTATTTGTGAATCACTAGTGCCTCGCTCGTGAAAATTCGGTAACCCACTTATGAATGAGGTTGCCTTAGTGTCCTAGTCATGGAGAATACCATCTTTTTTCTCTCAATTTTCTCTTGGTTGATTTGAAAATTGTCTTTATCCTTTTCCACAAATGTATTAAGTTGTTCGAATGTGTGACTCTTTAATCATCGTTTTAGCTGTAAGGTGTTACACCAAGTGTTTCTTTAATCCTAACTTTGGACTATTGAAAATGCATGGCTTGAACTCACTTGTCAGGCCAAAAAGAAATACCCAAAAAAAAAAAATAACTCACATGTAAAAAGTCATTCTTCTTAAGGGTGATTTTGTCAACCAAGTTTTTTTATAATTCTATTTTCAATAATTGGAGGTCTACAATTGAAAATATTCCCTTCAATCCCAATAGTGATTTTGTCAACTAAGTTTTTTTATAATTGTATTTTCAATAATTGGAGGTCTACAATTGGCAATACTCCCTTCGATCCTATTTATAGAGTAGAAAGAGAAGATTTTTTTTCTATTTACAAGTCATATCAATAATTTTTTATCATAAATTTTCTCTTTTATCCTCTATTAAATATTATTGAAAAAAATGTATTATTAAAGTATGTATATTAAATAAGTTCAAAGTTGATGACTTATTAAATTTTTGGACATAGTTAATGAGTTTTAAAGATTTTTGGGTTTTGACAAAATATGTTAGAAATGATTTATAAACAAAACTAGAAGACTAATGGCTTAACAAGGTCATTAATTATTATTATTATTTCCCCAAATCTTATTGAAATCACTTTTATTATTACTTTGTGGAAATGGATATGCATGCACGCATGCATACATACATATGCGTATGCCTTGCCTTATGGGGTAGAAAGACGTGCATAAATATGCATACCTTTAAAGAATGTGTGTGCGCGTTTGTGTGTAAGAGAAGTGATGGTAGGTTTTAGAAACATTTGAGGTAAATAAAAATAAATAAATTTTCAGTTTTATTAATATATTATATTTTTATATTGGAATTATTTTAGGCTGATTGTTTTTAAAATATAGGAGATCTGTGCGAATTCAAGAAAAAATAGAAGAAACTCAAGGTACGTAGATTATTCTTATTCATTAGATGAAAGGTGTGGCTAAATAAATTATACTAAAGAATAAATAATGAAAAAAAAAGGAAAAAACATTACCTTGAATGGCTCTTCCAATGTGAACCGACTTCGATTTAACTTCAAGCAAATTAGCTTCGAAGGAGAAAAATCTGGTGGTAAAGTCATAGAAGGATATCCTTTCCAGTCAAGCAATCTTAAACTATTTGGAAAATGTTTGGAATTTGTTGAAAATTGGGCATTTCGAATGATGAGAATCTTGAGATTATTCATCTTCTCAAATGCTATACCACTCCACTCCACTTTTTGATCAGGTGCATCTAGTATTATTCCTTCAATATTACTGCTTCCCTGTAATGCAAGTTTGAAGAAGTAGCATTGTTATATATTCCCAAATTAGCTCAACAAATTATATATATATATATATATATAGATATCATGATTATATATTAATATGTATGTATGTATGAATGAATGATTTTACTGAAATATTGAAATTCTTGGTCCTTCAAGTTTATGTTAATTATTGATTTGATCTCTAGAATTTAATCATTATCAATTAAGTTCCTACAATTTTATAATTATACATGATTGATCCGTGTGTTTTTTTTAATATGAAGAAGGAACATTAATTCAAACAAAGGATACAAAATAAACCAGTTCACAAATTGAGAGCTACTCTTTTCGTGATCATTGTGTTTTGAAAGGAAAATAACAGCAAAAAAGACTAATTGCGTATGATTGTAAAATTTAATTTAGAGACTTGATTCATAAAAATTATATTTCAAAAACCAAATCAATAATTAAAACACACTTGAAGGATATCAAAAATTTCACTATCCCTTTTTACATATAAGAATAAAAGAAAACGGACCACAAGAAATAGATTTTTACCGAATTTTCACATAGTACTTTAAGAACATCTTTGTGATCCCATAATCTACTGCGTTGACCAGGATTTGACGGTGCCTCTTGCCTAACAATCTCCTTGCCCATTTGTTGTATGAGATCATGCATGTACAAGCGACTGTTATTTTCATCAATAGTGATCAAAGATTTATCAACAAGAACTTCAATATAAAACCTTGCCCCATCATCACAGGCTTCTAGTATGTCTTCAATGAATTCTAATGCCTTCTTTTTAAAGAAACAAGCAATATCTAGAAAAACACGCTTAGCACCATCTGGTAGGCAATCATAGCTTATCTTAAGTACCTCATGGATTGTTCTTTCAGGGATTCTCTTGTACTGTTCCAATGTAGATCTCCATTCTTCAAAGTCCTTATGTGCCAAATTGGAGCCTACTAGTTTTAATGCTAGAGGAAGGCCACGTACATATCTAATAACATGATCGGACATATTTTCATAGCCACTTGGAGGTTGGCTCATACGAAAGGCATGCCAACAGAAGAGTTCAAGAGAGCAAAGTCGATTTAGCTCCTTCAATTCATATGTTTTCTCAACGTTACGTGAAATTAGCATTTCCTTATTTCTTGTTGTTATAATAATCTTGCTCCCACAACCAAACCAATCACACCCTCCTGCAAGTTGTTCTAACTGTTTAAACTCATCAACGTCATCGAGAACCAACAAAACCTTCTTGCTAGAGAGTCTGTGTTTTATGTTTGAGATTCCTTCATCAATACTGCTAAGCTTCATCTTCTTTTCCTCAAGAATCTCTGATAGAAGTGTTTGTTGAAGACGAACAATACCTTGATTTTTATTTGATTCTTCTCGAACGTCAAACAAAAAACATGCACCATCAAATTGGTAGAAGATTGATTTATACAAAGCTTTTGCAAGAGTTGTTTTCCCTATTCCGCCAGTTCCATAAATGCCCAACATATAAACTCGGTCATCAGACTTATCCATAAATGACATCAATTCCTCTATGCGATTTTCAATTCCAACCATATGACCAACGTTCTGGAAGCGTTTGGGAGGTATCACAGAATATGCATGTTCGACAACCCTTTCAATAAACCCAGATTCACATCTGCAAAAGGGAGGAAAAAAAAATCACTTTGAAGATATTTATGTAAAAGGTTTCTTTTGTACTTCTTTCCTCTTTGAATACATATTTTTTTCAAATCTTTAAGCTCTCCCAATTTTTTTAATCCTATCTCTATGTAAAAGTTAATTTTTCATCAGTTTCAATTGTAAAACTATGAAATATTTTCTGTTCAAATAATACGGTTTAAGGAAATCAAAAAGACACCCCGGCTGAAAAAGTTAAATTGAAAAGAATAAAACATATATAGTTATGCAAAATTAAACTTTTAAATGCAAAAACAATAAAAAAATCAATATTGATACAAAATCTTTACCAACTTTATACTGCCCACAAAATGTGAACTTCATAATTTCATTGCGTCTTTTTCCTAGAAGCTAATTGATTTTAGTCATGCATGAATATCCAAAATAGTATGGTAGATCCATCTGGATCCTCTGTATGTACTTCTTTCCATATGCAATCCCATTCATCATCAGCTACTGCTAATAGAGTATTAGTAAATTTCGTCAGCAGAAGGCAATTAGAAAATAGTGGAAACAAACCTACCCGTCTTGGAAAAGCCATGCAAATGACAAACTAGCGGCTTCATACAAAGCGGACCTCCATTTTTGCACTTTCTCCGGTTCATTCTTGAACCTACCACCTTCATGATCAGCCATGGCTTCTCCAAAGCTATTTCTCTGATGCTGAACATCCATGGGATCCACCTTGTAGAAGATGGGCATCACCACCTGGTTCTTTTCTTTCCTACACCAAACGATGTGGGCAAGTTCCTCGAGGCACCACGTTGAAGTAGCATAGTTGGTAGAGAACACAATAATGGAAATCCTGGATTTCTATATGGCTTTGAGAAGCGTAGGCGAGATCTCTTCCCCTTTCCCGAGCTTCTTGTCGTCGATGAAGGGGTTGATTCCCTTCCGGCGCAGAGCATCGTAGAGACGAACAGTGAAGGTGAGTCGAGTATCTTCACCCCTGAAACTCAGGAAAACATCATATCTATACTTGGCTTTGCTGCTGGTGAAGCCAAAGGATGATGGTGCTGCCACTTGAATCGCCATGGGTATGAGATTTGAAACAAGAGAGAAATTTACTCAATGATTGAAGCGTGGAAGACGGTAGGAAATTTATTGGATGTAGCGGTGAGATGGCCGAGTTTTTGTTTGACTTGTATGCTCGAAACAATGTTTGTGAAAATAAATAAGTATTTTATTAAAAAACTGATTTTACTATCTAAAAATCATAAAATAATACATTAAATAATATTCTCACCAGTAAAAATGGTGAAAATGGATCCAAACGGTGCAGAAGATTGTTTTTTTTTTTTTGGCTTGGCAAATGTTGCAGAAGGTTATGCCTAGTTTATCGTTTGAATTTCATCATTTTGGGAAGCAATTGTTTTGAAAATAAACAAATAATTAAAAATAACCAAATGAAAAAAAAAATATTAAGTCCAAGTCAGTACATGTTAGAATTTTTTTTTTCCCCTGATCAAAATACATGTTTGATTGTTGAGTCATAACTTTTCAGTTAATTCTAGATTTTTTTTTTTAACAGTTTGAAGTCAGTGCTTGAGGACTTAATTTCACATTGTAACGATATTGGCATTTTATACTATTAGCTAACTTGAGTTTAAATTGAGTCCTCTTAGGAGTGAAATAGCTTCCCTCAATGTATATAATTTTTTACCAACATAATTGGAAGTTAATCGTGTCATGTTAGCTAAGAACTTACTGAAACGTAGTTCAAAATTAAAGCAAATTGATAGCAACTGGACAACTTTAATCCAATACTGTAGAAGATGCCTTACTGGTTTCTTTGAACTGATCAAAATGAAAATGCTTTGTACATATGTAAGATATGCTTCACTGCTTTCTTTTTGTATAGAACATTATTTTGTCCTATTATATTATTATAAAATTTGAAAATAAATCATATCATGTTATTTAAAGTTGGTGAAATTCTGAATTATTGTAAATTTTGTTTTAAAAAGTTATATTTATCGATATATTTTCACTACGTTGATAATAATGCCCATGTTAAAGAGATGTTGTTAAAAAAACAGATCAGGTGTTGATATTAATTGGTATGTAAAATTTAAAACTCCCTTAAAATTAATATTGATGGTACAATCCCAAATTTATCAATATATCATTCCGTCCAGCAATTTGTTTTCCACCCAAAAAGTATCACATTCATCCGAATCCAATACCTCTATATGATAGATGTGGCAATTTCAAATCCAATAATGACAGTAAGTTTTCCTGAATTTTAGAAGCCAAACAACCTTCGATGTAAAAATGAAAGAGAGAACATGCGACCAGCTGGTTTGCCATCAAATTATTTTATTAGCCAGATCTGATAATAGTTAAGTATTATCATATAGACTAAAGTGCATCTTTAGTCTTTTAATTTTATATAAGATTTCATTTTAATCCTTTAATTTTATAAAATGTATTTTCAATCCTTTAATTCTTATATTGAATTTTTAAATATTAACTAAACAATCATACACCGTTAGTTATTTTGTTCCATTAATATAGAGCAGCTTCATTTACTTTTAAAAGGTTAATAAAGGAAAAGATGCCTTTTTATTGCTATAGAATAGTGAATTTTTCTTTTGGGATTAAAAGGTTATGAAAAATGTGCGGATGATAACAAAGTTGCTCCCCCCAAATCACAATATAAGTCATTTTCTATAAGCTTTACTTAATTTAAAATATAAAGCATTGGATAGGTGTTATATATTTTTTTCTACTTGCACCCTTACTTTATTAAGTAAGTAATGAAGGTGTTTTAAATAAGTCAAATATTATATTTATTACATTTAAAGCCATGATTGAAAATATATGAAAGTTTTTAGAAAATGAGGATGTTAACCAGCGTTTTTTTTTTAGAGGAGTAAGTCATATAAAGCTTAATAAATTGTTGCACCTAAAAGTGTATCATAAAAAACATTAATATCGAAAGTCTCATGCGAAACGTGATATCTGCACATTGTTTGCTTCCCTGAAAATGAAATCAAAACTAACGATTCAGATGTTATATTAAATAAAATTATTATTATGTTACATAAAATATATAAATAAAATATTACAGTTTTAAATTGTTTAGATAATTTTAATAGTTCACATTTGTTTGTTTCTTTTATCAAAAATTAAATCAAAACCATTGAAACTTTAATTTAATGGTGATGACAAGAAATTAAGAGAAATGAAAAATGAAAGATAAGGAGACATCTTCTCCCGATTCAAAGAAGGGTGATTCTAAAAAAATTCGTTCCAGATAATCACTGGAGGATGAAGAATAGTGAATGCTATAATAAGGGCAAGAAAAACGGTGGGGGAATAACATACTTTATCTAATTCTATTTATAAGTCATTTTTAGCATTTTCACTGGAAGGAAAACTTTCAACCTTATTAACTCTATTTAAAAATTCAACAAATTTTCAACAATATCCCTATTAAATATATATATATACACTTTAAAAATAAATTACTCTAGCATTAAATAATCTTTCTAGTATTTTGTAGGGGCAAAAAAGATAAAGATGGATAAAATAATCATTGAGGTATCTTATAAATACCATGAAACAAATATTCTTTTTTAGCCCTATAAATAAGTCAAGAGGATTATTAAAAGGAAAATCACAATCAAGGACCTCTGTAGCAACATATTCAAGAAAAAAAACAAAGGATTTTGAAATCGCTTTGCAGGATCAAAGGACCAAAGTATAATTAAAATTTATTGTGAAATTACAAAACTATCCCTCTTTTTTATAAATTTCCCCAATGTCACCGGTTGCCAGAACACATCTAGCTTTGGCAACAGCTACTAGAGCTCCAGCAAAGGTGACAAATTAATTTTTTTAAGGTGGCCAAGGGGTGTAATCATATGATGCTAACTTATATTTATATATATATATATATATATTTATATATATATTAGGGAAAATTATGTATAGGTCCTGTGGAGTAGAGTTATTTATAAAAAAAGTCCTGCAAAATTTAGAAACTATAGTCAAGTATTTTAGGACCTGAATGCAATTTAAAATTATAGTGGAGGGATAATAATGCCCCTATTAAAACTATATTATATCAATCAAATGATTTACAGCAATTTAATTAACAATTTACAACCATCACTTTATCTTTTTACAACTACAATTTAAACTTTTTATATCAAATATTCAAACCTTTTAATTATTGGATATGTAAAGTTACAATTATAAAAAGTTAAAGCAACAGTTGTAAATTAGTGATGAAGTAGTTGTAAACAATTAGTGTTAAACTTTGTTAATAGTATATAATTGATTTAACTATTAGATATATGAATTTACGATTATAAAAAGTTGAAATAATAATTATAAATTACTAATAAAATAGTTGTAAATAATTAGTGATAAACTTTTTTATAATGCTTAACTATTAAACATGTGAAGTTACTATTATAAAAAAATTGAAGAGATTGTTGTAAATTACTAATGACGTAGTTGTAAATTATTTAATTGATATAATGTATTTTTAACAAGGGCATTATTGTCTTTTGATCCTAATTTCAAAGACCTGGTTATGATTTCTAAATTTTACAGGATCTATTTATAAATAAATTTGCTTCATGGGACCTACATGTAATTTTTCCTATGCATTATCCATTTTGTTTTTATTTTCTAAGTCAGTCTTGTCAAGAGCTTAATAATCACTTGTCATTTTATAAATGATATAAGGAGTAGACTCCACGAATAGCAAGGTTTATCTTTGCCAAGGCACTTAAGGCAAATAATAAACCTATTCCAACTAAATTGAGATACGCAAAAGGGCTGCTAGTCGAACTCCGAACTACTTGCTTAAGTGACAGAGCTTCTATCATTCCTACTAACTTTAGTTGGTTAAACATCTCAAGCTGTTATATATATATATATATATATTGGTATTTGATTTGTAAGTAGAGGGAAATTTGGAGAAACGTTAGAACTCATGAAATTTTTTCCATGATCAAGTATTTAAGTTACAAATCATTAGAATTTAAATTTTGCAATTAAAAAACCATACCAATTAAGGTGAACAATAATTATCTTGAGTACAACTCTCTCTAATTTTAATTATAAGACAAAGTTTTAAAAACTTATTCAGTCCAATATCATATAGTAGCTAATTTTTTTAATATTACCCCTCCTTAATTGCACAAAATTGTAATTTCTAGGCATATGTAATTTTATAAGTTTAAAAATACTAACTACTGCTATTCTTTTTTTTTACCAACAACTACTGCTATTCTTTAATAATAATGAATTTTATTAATTTTATTTTATAATCAGGATTAGAGGAAATACAATTTAGAAGTAAAAATATAAATACAATAAAACTACTGCAAAGAGCATTAGTGAACTAGTGTTGCAGTTACAGCTGGGTGTCTTTAGGAATCCGATACTTTCAATGTTAGATCGTATGAATGACAATTAATTTTGATTTTTATGAATCAATAGTAAAAATTAGAGTAAATTAAAGAATGTCTCAGTGCTTTCTCTGGAATAATCGGAACCTCACCGGCGACGGGCTAAACTGTTTAAGGCCATACTGACAATTAATTTTGCTCGTATGAATATTAATAAAACAACACCACATACCTGGATGAACTCACCCAGACATACAAAATGATGATGATGATAACCAGCTGATTGTGCCCCTTTTTCAAAGGAAAAATAATAATAAAATCTCTTTGAAATATATAAATAACAATTTAATCCTTAAAAATAATATAATTTCTCTGAAGTCCCTGAATACCTTTTTAACATTTATGATTTTGAGTTAAATAACTAAATTGTTTTTGTTCTATGAATTGCCAAAATTGAATAAAAAATTGCAACTCCCCTGTCCTATGAAATTTCTTTTATGATTGAAAAAGAAGTTTTGCAAATAAATAGTCACAATCATAACTTTTTATTTAAACATTACAACTTTGATTCTGTAAATTACAAAAATTAAATAAGAAATCACAACTTTCCATATGAAATTTCTTTTATTATTAAAGTCCAAGTTCTAAAAATTACAAATCACAACTTTTATTATGTAAATCACTAAAATTGAACAAAAAGTCATAACTTTTCATGTGAAAATAACTAGTTAAAAGTTTTGTTTAAGCAATTACAACTTTTATTTTGTAAATCACAAGAATTAAACAATATGAACCTGTTATTATTTTGTTTTAAACAAGGGATAATTTAGTCATTTAAACTAAAATTATTAATTTTAAAAAGATATCAATGAACTTCAGATGAATTATGGTATTTTGAGTGACCTAAATGTCATTTATATATTTTGGTGAAATTTTATTATCATTTTTTCTTTTACAAATAATAACTATGCCCTTTCTTAACAAGGTGGATCTCATGAATAGATAATATCATAATATTTTTATTATAAATTTACTATAAAAAAACATGTTGCGTGTCTCTTAGATCCAATACTTTCAAGCATTATTTTGAAACCCAGATTAAACCAGACAATCCGATCGTCGACTGCTCAATAAAATAGCTTGATTCAATCATTTAGACTACCTAGACATTTGGATAGGGTTAACCTGAGCAGTGTTAAGAAAATTGAAGTTGACCCAAAAACTGGAGCAGGTCAACCCAGTCCAAGCCTACAAAATAAAAAGAAAAAGAAAACTTTGTCTCAGTCATTTAGATTCATGATTTCTCTTTCTAATATCTAGTTCTCTTCTCTAATTTATGATCTCTTCTCCATGATCCAAACTCAATTTCTAATCTCTCCTCTAGTTTTAGTGATCTAACCTTTAGCACTGAGATTGGAAGCTCGTGAGTCATGACATGACAGCATGCGTCCATCTCTAGTGTTTTACTTCAAGATTGTGAGCTCATGCCGACATGCCTCTATGTCCAACTTTAATGGTCCAGGCATCTAGTCATTGACGTCGAGATCCCAAACATAATCCACAAATTAATGTTTTATTTTTATATCTATGTATATAAATATTATTCTTTGTTTAATTTTTATGTCACTAGTTTGACTATTAGTTTAACCAGTTAAACCATGAGAATCACGACCCATTACACTTTTCAGTTTGACACTCAGTCTAAGTTTCAAAACATTGCTTTCAAGTTTCAATTATTCAACATATCAAGCCGAAAATGCTCTATGTACGGAAGAGATGCTTCACTGACGGTTAAAAAAAGGGGGGGTGATAGAAAGACAGAGAAGGGGAAACAATGCTTCACTGCTTTATTTGGAATTTGAATTTGGTGATGGTCTAAATCCATTCACCTAATGAGCATTTTATGTGACACAATAATAAGCATTTCACTTAATTAAATGGTTGTCAAAAAAAAAACTCAAACAGTATCAAATTTTAAATTTTTAAGGGGGCAGTATACATGCAGAATATTTTGATTGTAAAAATTGTTTAAAAATTTTGGATGAAATTGTATCTTGATAATTTTTAAGTATTTATTAAATCCAATCGTTATAAGTAAAACACTTATTGAATTAATGGACTTAACCTAGATCCAAATCATTTGTTTGATATAGAAAGGATAGACACAATGAGAGGCTAAATCACAATTAATGACAATTAATTAATTTTTTCACGAATAATAAAAATGAATCATATAATAAAAAAATTTATCTAAAAATGCTTTGTTTAGTATTATATAAAATTTGGAAAATAAATAATAATACTATATTATTAATTATAGTATTATATTTTGTGAACAGTCTAAGTTGTCACGGATTTTGTTATATATTGTAATATATTAACATATCATTGGTATTTTTTAATTATATTATAATTAATTGTATATTGATTAATAATGATGATAAGGACAAAGATATATACAATTTAAATCTTCCCAGCTTAAGGTCGATGGTACAAATCTACATTCTTTCATATATTATTCCTTTTTGCATTTCATTTTCATTTTCCACTCAAAAGGTATCATATTCTTCCACATTCAATGCCTGTATCTCAGTTGTGTCAAATTCAAATAAAGAATCAAATTCCAAAATCAACATTCTATGTAAACATAAAAACAAGCACATGCACGCAACCATCTTGCGATGCCATTTTTCCCCCCTTTCATAATGGGGATCCGTTGGATGTGCAGTACTATACTCGCTCAATTCTATTACAAAGAATTCTTGCATGTTTCTTAATACAATATGTTTTATCTAAATTATTAATTTCGTCCAACTAGTATTTCTAACTTACTATGAAATTCTTTCGAACTAACTAAGCAAACTCTTCTAACTAATAACATGCAATTATCTCACCTTAGAAATCTATTTATGTGTGCAGTTACACAAACACAGAAACTTGAAAAGATATATAATATTTAGGATTTACAAATAATGCAGCTTACTGTAAATATATAATGGAGAAGATTAGGCTAAAGGACAAAAACAATATTTATTTCTAAAACCTTAAAAATTAAAGAATCAACTCGGCCAATTTATATTGAAAAGGGCCTCCCCCAATAAAAGAGAATTTTAAACAATAAGAATTCTTGCTGAAAAATTAAAGAAAATTTATCTAATTCCCTCAAGTGAATGATTGAGATTTTGGATAGTAAAGGGGACAGTAGACAGTCCAAATCCATCTTTCGTCTTCCAGTAGGCGAATGAACTTTAATTTCTCAGGAGCTTCTTGGGTGGTTTCTCATTAAGAAGCAAATTTATCCCTCTTCGTTTCAGTGAAATTGTTGAAGAACTCATGGAAAGCACATCTGAAGACTTGAACTGGACGTTATCCATGTCTGTTTGCTCCTTATCAACATAAACACCACAGTTAACTGTGGAGATATCAGGTGGGTCACGTGTAAAATGTATTTCCACGTCATTCCAATCCAGTTCCAGAAACTTGTTAAGCCCTTCTAAATCTTCATCATTAAAATTCCATTCCAGATCCGTGAGAAACACATGACTGTGTTTACCAAAAAAACAACACCAAATCACGAACTTCTTCCCGTTCAACAAGACTACCATAACCATCATCACTTAGTTTGTATGGTATGTTGCGACCATTGATGCTCAAGAAAACTTTGAACGAGTATGTCGTACTTGAGTTAGATTTCCCCGACTCAAGGGCCACGACAACATGAGGGAAAATTTTTCCTCTACCAGGAAAACACAATGTTGCTCCTTCACAGCAACAGTCAAATCATTCTGGAAATGTTGTTGCTGGCGTAACTATACCCACGAAAGAGCTGTTTCTTGCCTGATTCATCAAAACATTAACGACCAAGGAGTTTTCAGCTGTGAAGACAACATTTTAAACAATAATTTAAGAGACAAGATCCTAATTCTCATACTTGAAATTAAAAAAAAAAGATAAACTTATATACTTAACCTTATATACTTAAAGTACTTGTTTCAAATTAAATCGAGACATGTGGATATTCTATAGATTATTTATTCTATGATAAATTTTTGTTATCAATATTATAAATATATTAAAATTCACTTGTATTGATTTGATGGGTAAAAGTATATTAAGTATATAAGGTTAAGTATATAAGTTTTACTCAAATATAAAATTAATTTAACTAATTTAACTAACTTATTATAAGGAAGAATATTTTTAAAAAAAATTAATACATAATTTTTACAAATAATTAATTTAAGTAATTTATTTAATTTATGTGAATTTGCTATTAAAATTTTACATTTAAAACCAAGGGACTAGATTTTCAGGAATGGAAAACCAAATTAAAAAAAAAAATCTCCCTTCTGAAAAATAGAGGGACTTCACAACATGAATGCATTTATGATATTTTATTATTTTCTGAGATGCTAGAGAAATCAATACGGCAAATGGAAATTACCAATAAGAATTAGAAAAAGAATAAGAAAATAGCAAAAGCATGAGAATAGTTAACCAGAGACCATAAACGGTCTAACGACTCTGTAGTCAATGACGTGCAATCCTCTGCAGCTATTTGCTGCAACGTTGATGGCAGCTCTGGTATGTCTCTTAGCCTCTTGCAATCACTCAGATTCAGTTTCTCCAAATAAGCACACTCTTTAATGCACTCAGGAAGGGACACAAAATCATTCCCTGGAAGATTCAACTCTTTCACATTTTGAAAACATGTCAGAATCACGTGAAGATCTTCATCTAACAGACCACAATTCTCAAGATCCAAGTCCTCTACGTTTGAGCAGCTAACGCCAACTGGTTGGCTTTGTTGCATTACGTTGATCAATGGTTTTGTACAAGCAGGTTGAATCCCTGACAACTCAAGCTCCTTAAGATATTCCAACTTCAATAAGCTATTTGGAAGCTCCCTAAGATATGTGCAAGAGCTTAAAACTAAACGATCAAGAATCGGAAGATTTTCAATGGAAGGCGGGAGCTCCGTAATAGCAGTGTCTTCTGCCAAAATTTGCATTAGATATTCCATCTTTCCTACTATGCTTGGTAAGTAATCAAGACTCTTGCAATGACTGAGATCAAGCTCTTGAAGAGATGCCATGTTGATTTCATGTGGAAAGATTGTCCGTTTGGTGCATTCACTAGCATCTAATCTTTCAAGCATGGATAGTGATCCCACGGAATCATGAACTTTGACCAGATTTTGACATTCACGAAAGCTCAGCGTCTTTAAACTTTGAAATTGTGACAAATCAGGTACTTCAGTTATCAATTCACAGAGTGAGAAATCCATGTATGTTTCATGTTCAACCTTCTACAAAAACAAAAACGAAGGCATATTTAGTTAAACATATAGTATCTATAAGAGATATTAACTTTTGGGTAGGATATATCAACCTCCTTTAAATATATATCTAATCCGATACTGAATTTCTGAGAAACCTCCTTCGTACTAAAAACAAAAAAAACGAAAGAAACACATGCATGCACGTTATGAATAGAAAACGGGTATAAAACAGGAAAAAATTACATACAGGTCTCAGATAAAAAAATTAATTACTACAAAATCTATTAACAACTAACATAAGGTCATTTACAACACATTGTGTTGTAATTAATTTCCTATAAAAAAACCTCCCTTGTTAGCAAGTGGAGCTTAATTCAGCTGCTTAAAATAATTGAATCAGCTTATCTTAGAGTTTTGAGTTTGAGTTTTAGGATATGCAATCAAAATAAATAAAAATACCAAAAGCATCCCGATCAAGGTATCCATGAGTTTAATCTTGCATGATAAGGGATTGGATTAATCTAAGCAGGTCGTGGTAATACCACCTTGTTCTTTAGGATACTAGGGCAACAGAAATTAAAAAATAAAAAACATCCTTTGTTTTCAATAATGGATATCCATTTACGCATATTATACATATGCCTTTTATGAGAAAGAAATTTTGCCAAATAATGAAGAGTTGGGAAAAATTGTACCTTGAATGGTTCTTGCAATCTGAAAAGACTTCCATATAACTTGAAGCAAACAAGTCTTGAAGGAGAAAAATCTGGCTTGCAGAAGGATATCCTTTCCAGTCAAGGAATCTCAAACTATAGTGAAAGTATTTAGGACTTGTTGAAAATTGGGCATTTCGAACAATGAGAATCTTGAGCTTATTCATCTTCTCAAAGGCTAAACCATCCCATTCCACTTTTTCTTGTTGAGGCGGATTGAGTATTATTGCTTCAATATTAATGGTTCCCTAAAATGCATGCTCAAGGAAGCAACATTGTCAGAATATTGGCCAATTAGCATAACAAATTTATTGAATATGACTATATAAACATATAAAAAAAATAGAACATAAGATTTAGATTCTTACTGAATTTTCACATAATACTTGAACAACATCTTTTTAATGCCATAATCTACTGTGTTCACCAGTACTTGATGCCTCTTGCCTGACAACCTCTTTGCCCATTTGTTGTATTAGGTCGTGCATGTACAAGCTACCATTATTATCATCAATAGTTATCAAAGATTTATCGACAAGAACTTCAATATAAAACCTTGCCCAATGTTGACAGGCTTCTAGTATGTCTTCAACAAACTCCAATGGCTTGTGTGTAAAGAAACAGGCAATATCTAGAAAAATATGCTTAGCAGCATCTTGTAAACAATCATAGCTTATCTTTAGTACCTCATGGGTTGTTCTTTCTTGGATTCTCTCACACTGTTCCAATGTACATCTCCATTCCTCTAAGTTTTATGTGTCAAATTGGAGCCTACTAATTTTAAAGCCAGAGGAAGACCACGTACATATCTTATAACCCGAGCAGACATATTTTCATTGACTTTTGGAGGTTGGCTCATTCGAAATGCATGCCAACAAAAGAGCTCAAGAGAGTCATGTTCATTTAGCTTCTTCATTTCACATGTGCTTTTAACAATACATGCATTCAGCAATTGCTTGTTTCTTGTCGTTACAATGATCTTGCTTCCACGACCAAACCAATCACACCCGCCAGCAAGTTGTTCTAATTGTTCAACCTCATCAACATCGTCAAGAACCAACAAAACCTTTTTGTGAGAGAGCCTGTTTTATTTTTGATATTCCTTCATCAACACTACTAAACTTCATCCCCTTTTCCCCAAGAATCTCAGATAAAATTGTCTGTTGAAGGTGAACAATGCGTTGATATTTATTTGATTCTTCTCGAACATCAAACAAAAAACATGCACCATCAAATTTGTGGAAGATTGAATTATATAAAGCTTTTGAAAGGGTTGTCTTGCCAATTCCACCAGTTCCATAAATCCCCAACATACAAATCAGATTTATTTATGATTGACATCAACTCCTCTACGCGAGGCTTAAGTCCAACCAAGTGATCATTGTTATGGAAGCGTTTAGGAGGTAGCATAGAATATGCTTCTTCAACAATCCACCCAACTTTGTTTCTGCAAAAACCACATGTTCTCTTTCAACTATGAAGATGATTTATGTAAAATTCGTTCTTTAATTTAGTATTTTTTTCTCATCTTTTATTACATGCTTCCTTCGATTCCTATTATAAAGCACCTTTAACTACCTTACTGGAATCAAAAATAAGTAGTTAAGTTATTAACTTTATCCGAAAATGTAATCAACTTTCAATTTTGCACCTATTTAAATAAAAATTCTTTGAATTTGCATTATACTATCTATCATAGTTAATTAATGGGTTTATATAGGGGTAATATTGAAAAAATATAATTAATGCCCCATAGTGTGCCTTATATTAAGAACAAAAAAATACTTTTAGAAGGTGTCATATAACAGAGATCGGAGGAATTATATATTTTTCAATAAAATCATGTTTTGATTATTTAAGTGTAACCTCAACGTCAATAATATCAATTTTTCAATTCCATCTCTATGGAAAAGTTTTTCAGATCCAGTTTTAAAATTATAAAATACTCTCAACGCTACTAGCCTCTTACGAAGAGTGAGCAGTAGTAGTTTTAGTTGGATTTTTTCCATGCCTACATTGATTAATACAAGGATGAATTTAAAATGTAATTTCAAAAAATACTAAGTGTCTTACATTTTTTATATAGTTATATGACTGAATCATTTTCTAGTATTATCCAGCTCAAATGAAAGTAGCAAGTGTTCTATATTTTGGACCAAGTTTAGATGAAAAAAATCTTATAATTTGAACAGGACGGAGTATATGTTTGTGTATTATTAGTTAAAATTATTTTTATAGTCACCATAAATATTTTAAAAACTAATTTTACTATCTAAGAATCATAAAAATAATAAATTAAATAATACTCTCACCAGGAAATGGTGAAAATTGATCCTAGTGGTGCAGAAGATTTTTTTTTTTTTTTTTTTTGCCTTGGCAAATGGTGCAGAAGGTTATACCTAGTTTTTTTTTTTTTTTACTTGTATCATTTCGGGAAGCAATTGTCTTGAAAATAAAAAATAATTAAAAAATGAAATGAAAAAAAAATATTAAGTCAAAGTCAGTACATGTTAGAATATTGAGAGATGACTTTTCAGTGGATTCTAGATTTTTTTTTTCCCTTACAATATATAGCCAATGCTTGATGACATAATTTAAGCCTCTTTTTTTTTTTTGGCCCTTGTGACAATATTATCGGCATTGTATGCTATTCGCTAGCTTGAGTTTAAATTGAGTCCACTTAGGAGTGAAAGAAGCTGTCAATATAATTTATCTCAATTATCAATTTGGTTGCTTAAATTTAATTTTTATTAATTTGGTCCCTTAATGTTCACCCCAATTGTCAATTTAGTTCTTGTTGTTTAAGAAGGAGGCAAAATTGTTGACATAAAAAGCAGAATATTAATGGCAGTTATATATAGATTAATGAAAATAAGTGAAATTATTTAGATAGAAAAAGAACTGACACAATTTTAAAAAAAAAGGAATAAAACACAGTGTAAGAGATTATTCTTTCTAATTTTATTTATAAGTTACTTCTAGTATATTTCACCAGAATTAAGAAAAACCTTAAATTTTATTAACTTTGTCTTAAAATTTAACAATTTTTCACATTACGCTTAATAAATATTCTTAAATCTTACTACTGATATTTTTATTCAAAACATTTAATAAAGACAAAAATGTCAATAATAGAATTGAAAATATACAAGTGCTCTATAAATAGAATCAGATTTTTCTTCCCTCTTGACCTTATAAATAGGACAAGAGGAGTACATTGATAAAAATCAAATTGATTTGAGAGTTAATTTGTTTTCATTTAACTATATATACATGTTAAGCCATCAATATACTTTATACGTTAGACTAATTTGAGAGTTAATTTGTGTTTTAAAACTTAATGAACTAACTTGATAATTTAAGAAAATATAAGGAATTAAATAGATAAAAAATAAAATTGAGTGACCTAGTAAATGAAGTAAACTTGAAGGGGTGATTCATTATCCCATAATTTTTCTCTTAGCAGCATAATTGGAATTTAATAGTGTCACGTTAGATACGAAGAACTTGCAGAAGCGTGCAGGGTTCAAGAGCAAATTGATAGAGACTGGACAATTTTGATCCAATACTGTAGAAGATGCCTCACTTGTTTCTTCGAACGGACGAAAATGAAAATGCTTTGTCCACAAGAGATGCTTCACTGCTTTTCTTTTCGTATAAAACATTATTTTGTAATATTATATAATTATAAAATTTGAAAAATAAATCATATCATGTTATTTATGTTTTGTGAAATTCTGAATTATTGTGAATTTCGTTATAAATAGCTATCTTTATTGATATGTTTCACTACATTGATAATGATGGCTATGTTAAAGAGATATTGTTAAAAAAATGGGCTAAAGATTATGTTTCTTCTTAAACTTTTTTTTATAAGTGCTAAGCACATATACTGAATAGTGAGACAATATATCTCCTCTAAACAATTTTTTAGAAGAAAAATTATCCTTTCATTAAAGACCTGTTATCTTCTTCATTATCTATTAATATGAAATAATTGAGGGATCCACACGCAATGATAGCAAGGTGTTCTAATTCATTTTGACTATTAGACATGCCCCAAAGGGGCCAGGAGTAGCAGTGGCAGGAATCGAGAGCCTGATTTTAGAAACAGCAATAAGATAAATCAAAATGTCTTGTTGTCTATATAATGGGTCTCACAAGTATTGCTTGTCAACTGATAACAAAGAAAATGATAAGTTTTATGATGGAAGAATGATTTTGCTTCTAAAAAATTGTTTAAGAAAGATATTACTCCACCTTCTAATACAAGGTTTCCAAAATTAATATCGATGGTACAATCCCAAATCTATCAAATGTATCATTCCCTCCAGCAATATGTTTTCAACCAAAAAAGTATCACATTCTTCCGAATCCAATACCTCTATATGATAGATGTGGCAATTTCAAATCCAATAATGACAATATGCCGTCTTGAATTTTAGAAGCGAAACAATATTCGATGTAATAATTAAAGAGAGAACATGAAACCTGCTGGTTATGCCATTTAATTTATTTATAAGCCGGATCTGATAATCATGAAGTATCATTATATAGACTAAAGTACATTTTTAAAAATGAGTTGCAAATATTAATTCAAACAATTATACACAGGAATTCTAGATACAATCTGAGAATTATATTTGAAACATAAATGTGTATTATCTACCATTAAATTTCCTGAATTTGTAATTACTTAAATTGATATTTTCAATTTATTTTTCAAAAAAATTTATCAGGGGATTTAAATGCCATTAATTCAAAATTTTGGGACTTAATTGTCATTCTTTATAATTATATAATACTCCTTCCATTTCATAATATAAGTCTCTTTTTTTAAAAAAATTGTTTCAATTTATAGATTTTCTTAAAAATCCAAAACATAATTTGTGAATATTTTCTTCCCGTTATACCCTTGTTTATGAGTAATGTGGAAATTTTTTAATTCATTAAATTCGGAGAAAATTTTATGTGGTCAATATTTTAATGCGTTTATTGCAATTTTTTAATATTTTTATCAAAATCTTAAAAAGACTTGTATTTTGAAATAAATTAAAGGGAGAAATATATTTCCTTCAATCCCATACATAAGTCATATTCTAGAAGAAATTAATAAGTAATCTTTTCTTATAAATCAAGGTTGTTGAACTCACAAGTTTAAGTAAACTCATGATAAAAATGTAAACTCATATCATAAACTTGGATTGTAAACTCATAAGAGTTTACTTCTGTTAACAATTAACCATTAAAATATGACAGTAATTTAATTTAAATATATTAAAAATATAAATTATTAAAATTAAACCCATCTATATTGATAAATTATCATATACAAAATATAAAAATGTTAAAATAGGGAAACTTATTTTTGGTTTTTTTATTTTTTTATTAATATTAGTTTTTGCATTTCAAGTTTTTTTCTTTGAACCAAGTGTTATAATTTTTATGAATTAAATAATTTATAATATATACTTAAATTACTCAACTCAAAAAAAATTGATAAACTTAACAAGTTTAATCAAACTTGCATCTAGTCTAAGTTTATAAATTAATTAACATAATTTTGTAAGTTAGAAATATAAAAACGGTAAACTTAAAAGCAAACTTATGAGTTTAATCGAGTTTATATTAATTTGAATTTATAAATGAGTTGACACGATTTTGTAAGTTAAAAATATAAAAACGTTAAACTTAAAAAATTAATTCAAGAATTTGACAACTATGTTATAAATCACTTTTCATATAAAGATATATCATTAATTATTTTCTTCTAATTTTACGCTTTCATTGGTTTCTGTTGGTAGAGTAAAAAAATTATATATGAGAGAGGAAGTGTTTTTGAAGATAATGCATTTAATAGGAATAAATTAGGAATTTTTTTAAGAGAACATCAATAACGTAACTGCTTCTTTTTGGTTTCAGTAAAAAAAGTTTTAATAAATCCATTTGTTGTTATATATAGCATGTCCCCTCATGCATTTTCGAACATTTTATTTTAGAACAAACCTTACATGTTAACAAGTAAAATTTTCTAAAATGACAAGTGGAGTTGGAATTTTTAACAAATCCATTTATTTCTTGATTTTATCTTTCGGTATCCTGAAAAACCCAAATGAAAGAATGAGGATTGGATTTGGGATTGGTATTGGTATTAGAAAATGTCCAAATTGATATGTTTGGAAATGTCCAAATTGATATGTTTGGTATGAGGGATGGAGGCTAACTTGAGATTGCTTAATCTCATTTACACAGGTTTACTTAAACCAGAGATTGGAAATTTTTTAGACAAAAATATTATTGGTTACAATAATTTTCAGACAAAATTTTCGCTCTAAATTTTGCCCCATATCACTCAATGTCCATGGCCGCAGTACCAAAGCAGAGCATTCTCTTCATTGTTGCTATATGGTATTACCACCTCTCTTCCAAACTAATTTGAGGCCCCACCATGGGGGATCGTTAGTACAAACGATGGCCTCACAAGTACTTCAAGAATGTTTTTAACATACTTATTTAACATGACTGCATTTCTTAGGACTTGAACTCCAAATCTTATGATAAATTGATTCAATTCTTTCAGCTAGTTAAACCAAATACATCTCAGTTTTTAACAAGTCCATTTCTGTTTGCCAAAAAATACAAGTCCATTCTTGCCATGTTTGTTCGGATAGGGACATTGACTTTTTCAGAGACATGTAAGCAGATTTAGGTGAAATCAAATAAATTTGCATGCACGTTAATCTGTGGATAGAGATAGAAGGAAAATGTTAAAAGCATTCTAAGGAACGGAAAACGAAAATTAAAAAAAAAATCTTCTATTGAAAATTAAAATAGAGGGGATCTGAAACATTAAATAGTTAATCTGGCTGGATTGAAGAACGATAGCAAGAAAATAAAAATTGGTTTGCCTTGATATTTATATAATAATTATCATTAAACAAATTAAACACAAGATATACATAATATTTACATCGTAAATATATATATATATATATATATCCAATTTATTCTGATAATACGTTAAAAAAGGGAATTAATCGTCACATTGGAATTAACAATCATGCATATATCCTTTTTATTAACTAAAGGTAATATTTGATACCTAAGAGTACAAAGCTCTCCAAAGATGCTTAGCCATTGGAAAAAACATCTTTCTCTTGTACTGCGAATGAAAAATCTGGTGACGTTTAGATTTCCTACAAATGTGCAAAAGGGGAAAAAATTAATAGTAATCAAAAACCATGAAACGACAATTCATACAGAGGAAGCACACAGGCTCACCTTGTCGTTTTATTTGTGTAATTGGTCTTCTCTTTGAACCTTCTCAGGTGCTTCCTGGGTGGCTCGTTTGGATGAGAAGCTATAGCTTTTCGTTTCAATGAAGTTGTTGAAGCATTCATGGAGAGCAGAGGAGACTTGAACTGGATATTCTCCATGTTCGTTTGTCGCTTATCCACATAAATACCACAGTTCACTATGGAGAGATCAGGTGGGTCACATGTAACTTGTATGTCCACGTCATTCCAATCCAATCCCAGAAACTTATTAAGCTCCTCTAACTCTTCACTAAAGTCACTAAGCAGATCAAAGAAATATACATGACCTTGATCACCTACTTTATACAAAACACGACCCCTTTTCCTTGCAACACGATCAGTTTGTATCCATGGCATTTTATTACAACCGTTGATGCTCATAAAAACTTCCACCATGTAAACCCACTTTGTGTTTGCTTTCCCCGTCTGGTATGCGAAGACGATACGAGGCATATTTCCACGAACACGAAAAGACAATTTTGCTCCTTTACAACAATAGTCTAACCAATCAGGAAATGTTGTTGCCGGCATAACGATTTCCATGGCAAAGCCCTCTTTCGCCTGATTTATCAAAACAGTAGCAACAAAAGGCATTTACGGCTTTGAAAATGACAATAAAATAATACTATTTAAATAGCAATAGCAGTCAAGAACTAATAGGTCACTTTTCTTGGTATATCTAAACATTGGTTTTGAGTTACTCGGAGCTTTTGGGATCATCAGACGTAGAGAGCGTGCCTTCTGGGGACGGGGGAGTTTTGAATATGAGTACTACTATTCTTCTCTACTATTTAATTTTCCTATTATTTATTCTTTATTAGTGGGATTTATATATAGAACTGCTTCTATCATTATATTTATATTTATGTTTCTAAATTCTCCAATTATGGGTAAGGATGTAGCTTGATGAGGAAATTAATTTGGACTGATTGTTTTGACTCTCTATGGATTTTTTTTATTTATAAACATATTATGATTTTTCCAATTTTATCATTATTTGACCAATAAATAAATTTATGGGTAATCTTAATGAACTAGTGGTATATTGAGAACTTAGATCCAAAAAATAAACACAAATAACTAGGGTGGGAAATAGTGTTAGGAATATTGAAGAAGAGAATATTAATAACAAAGATGATGATGAAAGTCAACTCATCAAATGATAATGAAAATGACAAACCCTTCTTGTGTGATTTAAAAAGAAACAGGAGAATGACAGTTAGATTCCATAACATTGAATTAATGATAGTTAAGTCCCCAACAAATTTTTTAAAAAAAATAAATTGAAAATATCGATCCAGATAATTACAAATCTAGGAGTTTCAATTGCAAATTTTGTAGATTGTAATAGAAATTTTTGTTTATAACTATTTAAATTGATATTTATAATTTATTTTGTAGAAAATTTGCTAGCAATCTAACTATCATTAATTCACTCCTTTGAGACCTAATTGTCATTCTCCCAAAATAAACTACATTACCCTTTCTCGAAGGGTGTTAAACCAACCCCTACTTTAAAGTAAAACAATAAGGTGAGAACCATGTTAACCTCCCTACTTTCTAATTTAAAGTTGTGTCCTTTATATACACATTAGGGTCACTAACTAACAAGTGATTAACATCTAATCACTCCTAATATTCCAACAAATAGTTCTAGAGGTTAGCGATGACTTAATAGTTACTCCTTAGATTCTTTTTATAAATAATTTTCAACATGTTTCACTAGAACTAAAAAAAACTTTAAAATTTAGTAAATCTATTTAAAAATTTAATAAACTCTCAATTTTTTTATTAATATTAAATATACATACTTTAATAACATATCTTCTCTCACGAATATTTAATGAAGGATAAAATGAGAAATTTTGTGATAAAAATTTAATAATGTAACTTATAAATTAGACAAAAAAAATCTTCTCTTCTGCCTTATATAGGACTCGAAGGAGTGAAGCTATTTTTTCACAGTTTAATTATAGTTTACTGCAATCCCATATGATTGTGAGACCGATCATTAATGTCTATCTTACCAGTCACACTTGATTAATTTGATTAATATTTAAAATAGCAAAAGAAAATGAGAATATATAAGCATCAGAAAAACCTGAGACCATAAACGGCCTATCGATTCCATAGTTAATGACATGCAGTTCTCCGCAGCTATGTGTTGCAGCGATGATGGCAGCTCCACTATGTCTCTTAGCCTCTTGCAGTTAGTCAGAGATAGTCTCTCCAAATACGCACACTCTTTAATGCACTCAGGAAGTGACACAAAATCATTCCCTGATAGATCCAGGTCTTCCACATTCTGAAAACATTTCAAAGTCAGGTGAAGATCTTCATCCAATAGACCGAAATTTCTGAGATTCAAGGTTTCTATATTTTCACAGCAAATAATTGATTGACTCTGTTGCATCATTGTCTTCAAAGATTCTCTACCAAGAGAGTGAATGCCTTCCAACCCAAGATCCTCAAGATTTGGCAACGTCAATAGGCTATTTGGAAGCTCCCTAAGACTTGTGCAGGAGCTTAAATCTAAACTACATAGCGGTGGAAGATTTCCAATGGAAGGTGGGAGCTCTTTAATAGCGGTCATAACTGCAGAAACTATAAAGAGATGTTCCATCTTTCCCACTATATGTGGGAAGTAGTCAAGACTCTTGCAAAATTCGAGGTTAAGCTCTTGAAGAGATGCCATGTTGATTTCATGTGGAAAGCTTGTAAGTATAGGGCATTCACTAACATCTAATCTTTCAAGCTTGCTGAGGGATCCCACTGAATCGTGAACTTTGGTCAGATTCAGACATTTATTAACGATCATTGTTTTTTAAATTTTGCAACTGAGACATATCTGGTACTTCGGTAATGAATTGACACTTTGAGAAATCCAAATATGTCACATGTGTCATGAATTCAGACTTCTGCCAAAAAAAAAAAACATTGTCTTTTGAGTAGAATTCAATCATTCAGTTTATCTAAACCAATGCAAACATACCACTCACAAAAAACTAGTCTCTCCGAACCATAATATAGGATATTGGTAATTACAATTCATGGTTCTCAAAAAAAGGTAAAACCTCAGTCTCTTAAAATTTTTTACATCTTTTTAATTATACCCCAACTTTTCTAATTTTCACAATTGCTAACTATTAAAAACGAATAGCTATAGTTGTAAATTGGGAATGAGGTTGTCTCCCAAAGTCTCAATTTTGAAGAGGCCCAACTTTTCTTTTTCTCACAATTGTCTACTGATAAAAATGCTTAACTTTTGTTGTGAATTACCAGTAACCTCACTTAGGAATGAGGTTGTCTCTCGGTGTCTAAGTCATGGAGAATCCCGACTTTCCTTTTTCTCATAACCTTGGGGTTTAAACTACTTAAATCGCATCTCATTATATTATATTGGGTTTGAATTCCAAGTAACCCACTTATAAAAACCAAGCAACCTTAGAGATTAGATAGTCTCCCTGTGTGTTTAATTATCATATGTAGCTCAAGTGTACCACCCTATAATTTTTAATCCAAGTTTTAAGTTTAATCAATGGAGTTTAGGGCTAATTGGATTCTATTAATGTCATGGAAGATGTTTGGACTTAATTGTCGAAGTCTTTAAGCCCTAATATACACAATTGAGGCCCAAAACCCACTCCAGATAGTTGAAGCACATGGATAGCATGTGACACTAGTGCAAAAGGCATTTTTTGCCACAGTTATATGACATTTTTCATGACAAAAAATGATGTGTAATAGAAGATTGTGTAATAATAAATGAAAACCTTTTATCATAGGTCAATTTGAAACTATGATAAAAACTTCTATTTTTTGCCACAGGTCAATGTGAGATCTGTGGGCCTGTGATAAAAAATAATATTTTTTACTATAAGTAATAAAGGACTTGTGATTAAAAATATCATCTTTTGTCACAAGTCTTTTATAACCTATAACGAAATATATTATTTTTTATCACAGTTTCAAATTGACTTTTGGTGAAAAATGAGCTTAACGCAATTTTTGGTGACAATTGCTATTATTTGGATTAAACATCTATCAAGACAAAATATATTTGTTTGATAGGTGCCATATATAGTCAACATTGTTTAATTTTAAAAAAATTGAATCAGCTGAGGGTTGGACAGAATTTATGGTGATAGGTATTAAGAGTGTCGTCATAAATATCATTTACGACAACAAGCCCATGTTTGACTGTCGCTATAAATGCTAAAAAAAATTAAAAAAAATGTGCATAATGAGCTTGGGGTTAAGGACAGAATTTAAGGCGTCGGGTATTTGAAGCTCTATCGCTATAAATATGGAGCTGAGGTATTTACGACGACAAACACCTGGCTGCCTGTCGCTGTAAATTCTATTTAATGTTCCAATAAATACGTCTTATTCCACACATGCGTTAATACTGCATTCATACATTATTAAAATAAAATTAATTACATTCTAAATAATATCTCTTATAAAATTCAAATTAAAATTAAAATTAAAATATTTTAATTTATCATTTAATAATTAATAGTGTCTGAATACAGACACAATTAATTAAAATTAAATACTTGAACTCATCTTTTTCAAAAAAAAAAAAAGTTTTGACAAGTGGGTATTTACGACAACAATCAATTGGATGCCTGTCGCCGTAAATGCTACTTGATTTAAAAAAATTTTAAAAAAAATGTGGGCAACAAGCTTGGAGTTAAAGATAGAATTTATGGTGATAGGTTTTTGAAGCCCTGCCGTCATAAATAAGGAGCTAGTATTTACGGTGACAGACATATGGTTGCCTATGTCGTAAATTCTATTTAATGTTCCAATAAATATGTCTTGTTTCAAACGCACATTAATGCTACATTCACGCCTTAATAAAATAAAATTAATTACATTCTAGGTAATATCTTTTATAAAATTAAAATATAAATATAAAATATTTTAATTTATCATTTAATAATTAATAGTGTCTAAATACAGACACATAAATGTGTCTGATTTCAGACATTATTAATAAATTAAGTTATTTAATTAATTTAACATTTATATTCAATTAAATGTGCCTTAATAAAAAAACAACTAAATATTTAATTGATAATTTATTTTAAGTAATTGAATCATTTAATTTGATCTAATATCCATTTATGGTGACAGTTTAATTTAAGACTGGTAAAAAATGATGCATTTTTTAACTTATTTACATCTATGCCATTGAGTCTTATATTACCACAGTTTTTTGATAAATTGTGGCAAAAAATGTGTAGTTAAAATTATGGTTTGCACCAGTGGTAATTGGTATTATTTGGCTACTTTTACATCTTGAAATGTAAAAGAAAGAGCAAACCCTAGATGGAAAAGAGAGGAGTTTCGAGCTCTAGAGTTTGTAACTTCTTATGATTTAGGCTGATACTGAAAGATGAATGGAATGAGAGGTAATGGCTCTAGATGGTGCTTTGTGGCTCTCTCTTAACATTGGTATGCAGCCATAGAGCCGGGCAAACAGGTTGAGCCAACGAGCTAGCCCATTTAACCCGCACAATTTGATGGGTTGGGTTGAAAAAATTAGCTCATTTTTAAAAACAGGTTGGATTAGCCCAACCTGCAAAATTAGCGAGCTAAAACAGACTAGCCCATGGGCTAAACGAGTTGGCCCGCGGGCTAGCATATTTTTAAAAAATAATTTTTTATTTTTTAATTATATTATATCTTTTTTAAATCTACAATAATGATAATATTTCTTAAATATATAATTTATGACTCTCAAATATGTTCTTTACATTTGAAATATAATGTAAATTCTTTTTACAATTTGCAAATAAAATTTTTATTACAGTTTGTGAAGATGATTTATTAGTTTTTATAAAAATATTTTAAATATATATTATTTATTAATATCATAAAATCTATTTATTGAAATTATAAATATGAATTCATTGAGAAAAATAATATGGGTTTATATTCAAATTTTTTTCAATGACAAAGATAGCACACCTAGGCGAAAAGATAATTGATAGTAAAAATCTAACAAAATAAATTTGCTTAGTTGAATTCTATATTTATTTTATTTATTTATAAGTTTTTTAATTACTAATTTACTTTAAAATATGAAATAAATAAATATATTTATATTATATAAATTTTAAATTATTAAAAAAATTAATAATTTTTTGCAGGCCAGCCCGCAGGTTGGCTAACCCGCTAGAAAATGGCTTGGGTTAGATTTTTTAGCCCGTTTTATCTAGCGGGATGGCCTAACCCAACCCGCAAAAATGCCAGCCCGTGCGAGATAGCTCACAGGTTGGCCCGTAACTTATTTGCCCAGTGCTATACAATTGTATTAAGCAGTTGAAGGTGACTATAGTTTTACATTAACATTGACGAGTTGTGGATGGTAAAGGATATGCAAGTGTTAGTTGATCATGTTGCTATGGGATTGGGGATTTTAATGATTGCCTATGAATGTGTACCTCTTGCATGAGTGTATATGCTTATGAGCTATGTCAACGTAGCAGCATGGGTACGTCGCTTGCAGGTGTGTGTTGGCTACTACATGTAACCTTAACTGAATAGCACGTGTACCTTACAAGTGTGTGCTGGCCATCTCGTGTTTGGGTTATGTTAGATTTGGGATTAGTATTTGCATACTTCTCTAGGCGGTTTGGGTTAAACCATGGTGTACGGCCATATATGACGTCGTAAATTTGTTTGTGTAACTCCATTGAAAGGGATCGAATGTGAGTGGTTTATATGTACAAATCTTCAATATTATTGCTTTTGAATCATGTATAAGCCATGGTTACTGAGATTTGCAACTCATCCTTGTTATTTGTCATCCCCCAAGTGAAAGCACTAGTAGCATGCGACAGAAGGAATTAACCTTGCTTATTCTATCAAGTTTAATTTCTAATGCTCCTAGAACTTGCCAAGCTTTGAGTTGTTGTAGTTGTAGTTGCTTGGCCTATACCTTTGAATTGAACTTCAAATCTTTGTTTGTTAGATGTTTCTCTTGATGGTTTTAGGAATCAAAAAGGAAAATTTGATATGGGCTCTCAAAGCTATGTGAAACTCAAGGTAGTTTATTGTTATTCCTTAGATGAAAATTAAGGCTACAGTAAAATCAGTAAATTATACCAAAGAATAAATTGTGGTCGGGGGAAAGGAAAGGAAAGAGTACCTTGAATGGCTCTTCCAATGTGAACTGACTTCCATTTAACTTCAAGCAAATTAGCTTCGAAGGAGAAAAATTTGGCGGTAAAGTAAAGAAGGATATCCTTTCCAGTCAAGTAATCTTAAAGTATTTGGAAAATATTAGAACTTGTTGAAAATTGGGCATTTCGAATGATGAGAATCTTGAGATTATTCATCTTCTCAAATGCTATACCACCCCACTCCACTTTTTCTTGATGAGGTGGATCAAGTATTATTCCTTCAATATTACTGCTTCCCTGTAATGCAAGTTTGCAAAGTAACATTGTTATATATTGCCAAATTAGCACAACAAATTTGATGTATATAACTCTATATATATAAGAATGAAAGAAAACAGACCACAAGAAATAGATTCTTACTGAATTTTCTTGTAGCACTTCAAGACAAGAACTCTGTAATACCATAATCTACTGCGTTGACCAAGATTTGATGGCCCTTCTTGCCTAACAATCTCCTTGCCCATTTGTTGTATGAGATCATGCATGTACAAGCGACTGCTATTTTCATCAATAGTGATCAGAGATTTATCAACAAGGACTTCAATATAAAACCTTGCCCCATCATCACAAGCTTCTAGTATGTCTTCAATGAATTCTAATGCCTTCTTCTTAAAGAAACAAGCAATATCTAGAAAAACACGCTTAGCACCATCTGGTAAGCAATCATAGCTTATCTTAAGTACCTCATGGATTGTTCTTTCAGGGATTCTCTTGTACTGTTCCAACGTAGATCTCCATTCTTCAAAGTCCTTATGTGCCCAATTGGAGCCTACTAATTTTAAAGCTAGAGGAAGGCCATGTACATATCTAATAACATGATTGGACATATTTTCATAGCCATTTGGAGGTTGGCTCATACGAAAGGCATGCCAACAGAAGAGTTCAAGAGAGCAAAGTCGACTTAGCTCCTTCACTTCATATGTTTTCTCAACATTACGTGCAATGAGCAATTCCTTATTTCTTGTTGTTATAATAATCTTGCTTCCACAACCAAACCAATCACGCCCCCCTGCAAGTTGTTCTAACTGTTTAAACTCATCAACATCATCCAGAACCAACAAAACCTTCTTGCTAGAGAGTCTGTGTTTTATGTATGAGATTCCTTCATCAACACTATTAAGCTGCATTTTCTGTTCCCCAAGAATCTCTGATAGAAGTGTCTGTTGAAGACGAATAATACTTTGATATTTATTTGATTCTTCTCGAACATCAAACAAAAAACATGCACCGTCAAATTGGTAGAAGATTAATTTATACAAAGCTTTGCAAGTGTTGTTTTTCCTATTCCACCAGTTCCATAAATGCCCAACATACAAACTCGGTCATCAGATTTATCCATAAGTGACATCACTTCCTCTATGCGAGTTTCAAGTCCAACCATATGATCAATGTTCTGGAAGCGTTTAGGAGGTATCATAGAATATGCATGTTCGACAATCCTTTCAATAAAGCAGATTCACATCTGCAAAAGGAAAAAGAACAAAAGAAAAAAAAAATTCACTATGAAGATATTTATGTAAAAGGTTTCTTATGTGCTTCTTTCCTCTTTGAATACATAAGCTCCTCAATTTTTAATCCTATCTCTCCAATATTTGCCTCTCCTCAGTTTAAGGATATCTAAAAGACTCTGGCTGGAAAAGGTAAATTCAATATAAAAAAACATAAATGGTACAAAATTAAACTTTTAAATGTAAAAGCAAACAAATCATTATTGTTGTTATATACAAAATTTATACCAACTTTGTACTATTCACAACATGTGAACAATTTAATTGATGGAAACAAAAAGAAAAAAGATAAGAAAATATTAAAAATTTAAGAAGAAGAATTTTAAATATTGAAAATATTTTATATTAATTAGGAATATTCTATTTTAATTATTGCATATTTTAATTAGGGTAATGAGGCAAATTACCCCCTAAACTTTAGATCCAATAGTACCATAAACTTTAGACTCATTTATTATACAAATTGTTCCCTCAACTTTTGAAAAAGATGCAATCTGGCCCTTGCTATTACCAAAAGTTAACTTTGATCATCAATTTGACCTCAAAAATTATAAAAAATGACCAAAAAAATTTTTGATCTTTTTTTGTAATTTTTTAGATCCGTCTATAATTTTTGGATTCTTTATTGTACTCGTTTGTCCTTTTTTGTAAATTTTGAGTCTTTATATGTAATTTTTGGATCCTTTATTAGTGTTTTTTTGATTCTTTTATGTCATTTTTCCTAGTCAAATAACGATCAGAGGTTAACTTTTGTGTGATGTCATGGGCTAAATTGCGTACCATTTTTAAAAATTGAGAGAATAATTTGTACAATAAATGAGTTCAAGATCTATAAATATTATTAATCCTAATATTTAAGGGATAATTTACTTATTTACCCTTTTAATTATTGTTATCTTTATGCATAAAGATAATATTGAAAAAAAATGAATCATTCCATTCGATCCATTTTATAACAAACTCTCAAACAATAGTCATGTAAAACTATTTGTTTCATCATAAGTGTTTGTAAGTTTATTTTGAGATGGAATAGGATGAAGAGGAAAGACTAGAAGTTAGATACAATTATTTGAGAGAATTTTTTTAAAAGGGAGTGGAATGGTTTGAAATGACCTTACAAGCCATCCTTAGTCATCCTAAACTCATTTCTCTCTTGTCTCACAATTTGGGGTGTTGAGGATGGAATGGCACAAGAAATAATATTATTGAAAAATTACTCCATCCTTCTCACCCCATCTCACTCTTTCACCCCCTTTCAACAGAAAACTGAAAAAACATAATTATATCGAATTCAAATATATTAACTTTACAATTTCTTAAATAATAAATGAACTTATATAAATCATTTGAATTCCTCCAATAAAACTCTCAAACAATTAAATGTTTTGTTCTATCTTACTCCATCCCACTCCACTCCATTCTATTCTGTTAATAATCATTTATTTTCATTCCATCATATATCTTAAACATATAAAACTTTCAAACAATGAAAAATTTCATTCCATTCCACTATGTTCTTTTTCATTAATTCTAAACTCTCAACACACTCTTAGTAAATTTCTAAATAGAAGGCAATTAGAAAATAGTGCAATCAAACCTACCCATCTTCGAAAGCCCATGCATGCTGTGACAAACTAGCAGCTTCATGCAAAGCGGCCCTCCATTTTTGCACTTTCTCCTGTTCATTCTTGAACCTACCAGCTTTATGATCAGCCATGGCTTCTCCAAAGCTATTTCTTTGCTTCTGAACATCCAAGGGATCCACCTTGTAGAAGATGGGGCATCACCACCTGGTTCTTCTGCTTCCTACACCAAACGATGCGGGCAAGTTCCTCGAGGCACCACGTTGAAGTAGCATAGTTGGTGGAGAACACAATAATGGAAATCCTGGATTTCTCTATGGCTTTGAGAAGCGTAGGTGAGATCTCTTCCCCTTTCGCGAGCTTCTTGTCGTCGATGAAGGCGTTGATTCCCTTCCGGCACAGAGCATCGTGGGAGACGAACAGTGAAGGTGAGAGTCGAGTATCTTCACACCCTGAAACTGAGGAAAACATCATATCTATACTTGGTTTTGCTGCTGGTGAAGCCAAGGGATGATGATGGCGCCGCCACTTGAATCGCCATGGTTCTGCTGAGATTTGAAGAGAGAAATTTGCACAATGATTGAAGCGTTGAAGACGGGAGGAAATTTATTGGATGTAGTGAGAACCATGGTCTCACGAGTTTTTGTTTGACCAGTATCTTGAAGCAATGTTTGTGAAAATAAATAAATATTTTAAAAACTAATTTTACTATGTTAAATCATAAAAAAACAAAATTAAATAATATTTTCGACAGTAAAAATGGTGAAAAATTGATCCAAGCTGTGCAGAAGATTTTTTTTTTTTTTGGGGGCTTGGCAAATGTTGCAGAAGGTTATGCCTAGTTT